TATAGCAAGCCGTTAGCCCCGTTCTATCCTTTGACCCAAATATAATATGCATACCAAAGATCCGACGTTGGCAAACTCTTTATCGGCGGTGATGAGAACCGACTGTACGAGAAACTTGTCGCGACACTTCGCATCTGGCGGTGGGTCTTCCTTCATGGCCTGGAGGAGAACTAAGCGCATTTGTTAGCTGCTGCAATGTGTCTACAAGTTGCGCGCGCTTAAGGTATGCATACTCTGAACTTCAACCTCCTTTCCAGGCTCAATACGCCCGCTGTTTGGCCTGACGCAATATCTATAGTTCCATCGTCAGTTGTTGTGGGGCAAAGAAGGGGTCGCAGGCGCCGTACTGCTTGGGAGCCGTAGTTTTGACCTTGCACGTGTTAGCTGCGCGTCCAGTATAAAGCTACAAAATAGCAGGGGAAAAGCAAAGTGGCCTACCTTGAAGGCAACAGGGTCAGAATGCGGGTTCTTCAAGCGGAGCGTCTGCGACACTTCATGCTGGAAGGGTCCTGGCGGGTTTAGTATTGCTGCATGCGTTCAATTCCACTGACAGAGCTTACGCTTGAAACCAAGCTCTACGGGATCGAGCTCGACAGACATGGCGGTGCGTATGCGAGTGGTGAGGGCGTGGCGGGTGGTTGCGTGGTGTTGGTAATCAAGCACGGGTGCTCAGTTACAGCGTCCGTTCGCGGTCGACCTCGGGAATGATAGGCGGGTCGTGTGCTCGTGTAATTGTGGGTTTAATTAGTCGACAGACAAACGCGCTGGCACAGAATGTCTGTATCGGGTGTCGTTGGTGGTTGCGGGTGGCAGAGTGAGGTCAGGAAGAAGGAGACGATGACGTTGCTTCAGGGCTGCCGTGGAGGCAGTCGCGCCAGTGACGCTTTTGGCTCAGGAAGCGCTTTAGTGGCCTCGACAGCTAACTGCCCGACTACCGGTATTCACACAATCTAGGCTGCGGCGGGGATTACTGTACATACGCTTTTGAAGTGAAAGTGAAGATAGTCGGTATTGCTTATTCAAGGTATTTGTCCAGCAGATCAACGGTCCACCTTCTCCAAGGTTCCGTTCCATTCCCCGCTACCGCCTGCACCATGTACGTTATATAGCACCGCCCCAGTGGAGCCCTCTATTACCAATACCACAACAAGTTCAACCCGCCCTACTCATCAACTGACAAGCCAAGCTTTGCAATAGACATACGTGTGCCTTTCTCAACAGACAATTGTCCAAAGCGCTTCACTCACCCGATTCGAACTACAACGCCACAACCACCATGGCCTCATCCGACCTAGATACTCTCGTCGATATGGGCTTTGATCGCGAGCGTGCCGAGCTCGCAGTCAAGGTGTCCGGAGGCCTTCAGTCCGCCATCGACTGGCTCGAGACCAACCAGGACAAGTCCATTGATGAGATCAAGCAAGCGCAAGCCAGCTCTGCTGCCGGAGCTTCAGATGAACCCCCAGCCCTCCAGCCCGGAGAAGAAGCAAAATCACTCGTCTGCGATGAGTGCGGCAAAAAGTTCCGATCAGTCAACCAGGCTCAATTCCACGGCGAAAAGACAGGCCATGAGCAGTTCAGCGAGTCGACTGAAGAAATTGCGCCCCTCACAGAAGAAGAAAAGAAGCAGCGGCTACAGGAGCTGCGGGAGAAGCTGGCGGCGAAGCGCGCAAAGATGTCAGAGCAGGATAAGGAGGACCAGAGGAGAAACGAGCAGATCCGCATGAAGGCCACAAAGGAGTCGCAAGACATCAGGGAGGAGTTACAAAAGAAGGAGCGTCTGAAGGAGGCTGCTGCTAAGCGTGCAGAGAAGAAGGCAGATGAGGAGGCAAGGAAGCGCGTGCTAGCAAAACTCGAGGCAGACAAACAGGAACGTAAGCGTAAGGCTGAGGAAGAAAAGGCAAAGCGTGCCGGTCAGGCTCTCCCTGCTCCAGCCGCACAAGCTCCTCTTGCGACATCTTCTGGTCCTTCAACAAGCAAGCCTGCAAGTGCATATACTGAGGCTCGGTTGGCGCTCCAGACACCAAGTGGAAGGGTTATGAAGACGTTCCCCGTAGAGACGACGCTCTTCGAGGTAGCACATGCGCTGGAACAGGACGGCTTGAGTGTTAACACATTTACCACTAACTTCCCCAAGAAGACGTACGACAAGACTGACTTTGGCATGACGCTCAAGGAGGCTGGCATGGTACCGAGCGCGGCCTTGATTGTCGGATAAGTTTCGACGGCAATCGAGAGGGACTCCGCGATTCTCTGAGATTGATGTAGCGATGGTTCTGTACAAGAAGGCACGGGAAAGATGACGTTGGTGATGCGAGATTCATGGTAGATAACCCTGGAGAATGAAGTATCGAGTAGGTTTGATCAGATAGCCTGTAGCGGAACGGCCAGCAAAAATACTGATGAGTTATGAATGACGAGAATGTGCTCAACGTTTCCCAATCTTTGTTTAATCTCTTGAGAAAGCGGTCATGTACGTATGTGACAGCTTATTCATACATCGGTATATCTGAGTTCCAAAAGTACATTGCGGACCCATTACTCATACTCATCGATATCATACCTCCCCTCAGCCCTCTGCGTACTACACCACTCCTCACTTGCCAGCCCCCTCTCCTTCCTCCTAACCAGCGCCTCAGCATCCTTGCACCAATCGCACGCAAAATCACATGGCGCAGGCGCTTCGTCAGCAAAGTACTTCGCAATAATTTTATGGCGACACTTATCCGTAGCCTCACAGTAGCCCACAAGTGCCTGCAAGCTCCTTGCACGATTCATAAGTTGCTGCTGCTGGTAATCTGCTCCTCCGCTTTTTGAGGGTTGGCGTGTCATATCTCGCGCCATCATGTTGGCAGCGCGATCGCGGTCTTCGCGGCCATAGTACAGGATACAAAGTGAGGCCTTGCCGTCACGGCCTGCTCTGCCGGCTTCTTGGTAGAAGCCTTCGAAAGACTTTGGGATCTGCCAGTGGACTACAAAGCGGACGTTTTCCTTGTCGATTCCCATGCCGAACGCAGTGGTGGCGACAATGATGTCGTAGCCGGGCTTGTTGGCAATCCAACCCGATAGAGCGTCCGCACGTTCAAAGACGGAGAGGCCGGCGTGGTAGGGTTTGGCACCGATACCGTCGGAACGGAGGCGTTCGGCAAGGGACTCGCAGTCTTTGCGGAACAGGGTGTAGATGATGCCTGGGACGTTATCCGTGCGCTGGTTTTGCGAGGCAAGTTGGGTAACGCGCTCGGGTCTCTCAGCACGTCGGGCATATATGCCTTTGAGCAGGGAAAGAAAGTCGTCATAGTGGTCTTCTTCGTCGGATTTGAAGCGTACTTCATAATGCAGGTTTGGCCGGCTGCTGGTCATGCGGAACATGGCCAGTTTCTTCGGGTCCAGTGCTAATGTATTGATGATGTCGTCTCTTACGCGTGCTGTGGCCGTGGCAGTCAAACAAATAACTGGAACATCGGGAAATTCTGTTTTGAAGAAGGAAAGTTGCTGGAAAGACGGACGAAAGTCGTGACCCCATTCGCTAACACAGTGGGCTTCATCAACGGCGATACGGGCCAGTTCGCGCTGGGAATGGATGACTCGCAGAATTTTACGAAAGTGATCACCTTGACAAAATTCCGGAGTGACATAGAGTAGCCGAGTGAGTGGATGGCCGCATTGGAGGTCTGCCAGGATTCTTTTTCTGTCCTCAGTGGGTGTCGTGCTGTTGATTGTCTCGACGCGGATATTGGCGTTGCGCAAGGAAGCGACTTGGTTATTCTATTTCCCAGTGAGATGACTTCATGCAGATAAACATTAGGTAACGTACCATGAGTGCTAGAAGTGGAGAGATGACGATGGTAACTTGGGTCATCAGTAAGGAATTCCTTCACATCATGCTGCTCACATACTGCCAAAGTCCACAACTGCTGGAAGTTGGTAGCACAGGCTCTTTCCGAATGAAGTCGCTGCCTGGACGAAGACATCTTGACCCTCTAATGTGGCCAAAACGACTTCACGCTGTGGCGGTCTAAGCCAATGGTTAGTATCACCGTTCAGAAATAGATCAAAACACTTGCCTGAATGCAGCTTTCTTGAAGACCTTTCTCAACGTAAAGTCTATGTTTGAGTACGGCCGTTTCCTTGGGCCCGGCATGATCCCGACACTAAACCCTAGTTTTACTATGTCAAGATTTTGGCGGGGAAACTCTGCACGATGAATATGCCGAATCACCGCAATATCGTGGGTTGTAACGGCGGCTTCAGCAACAGACAGAGTTGCATGTTGAGCTACACCGGTCAAGTTGGGGAAAGTGTTATGGAGTATTAATCGATAGGACGCGTCCGCCTCAAAAGTGTGACGCGCTAGCACGTGCGTCCCACTTTGACTACGTACGTAGAACTCGAAGCATTTGTAGTCAATCACCACCATACTTCACTTGCATAGAACAAAATAAAGAACTTGACGGCGAGACATTTAATTAGAATGGATACATGAAAGAACATCCCGAAAAGTTGAAAGCCCAGCCCATCGTAACCAAATCCAAGTTCCAAGCCTGCGAGATTAGCAATACTCGACCAGAGCATTCACCACACATAATGGTCGCAGCAAACACAAGGCCAGAAGTCCCACCCGGCTTCGCAATAAAAGACTTTTCCTCCTTCTCACCAAAATTCCGCCCAGCCATCGCCGACAAGGTAGCCAAACTCGAAAAGAAAATCTTCCCCGCTATAGAGCATTTCAACTACAATGTTGAGCTGAAGAAAAAGAACACGGGCTTGCTACTGGTGTTCAAGGAAGACGATGACGAAAGATTGGTCGCTTATCTCGTGTATCAGCGGATGAAACGGCTTGCATGGCTACATAAACTTTGTGTTGTTGAGCAAGAGAGGCAAAAGGGTGTGGGCAAGGCGCTGATTCAAATGCTTCACTATCAGATGGAAAGAGGAGGGTGTCAGACGGTATTTTTGTGGGTCGATGAGAGTAGACAGCCTGCGAGAGCATTGTACACTTCATGTGGCTTTCAACAGTCTGAGCGCCGGCCTGATTACTATGGTCCCGGGCGTACGGCTTTGAAGTTGGAGTTGATGATTGGGGCATGAGATTGTGTGCTGTCTAGGGTCTTGATATAGCGTCTGGATGACAGTAATCTTTCCGGCTCAAATTCGTTATGGCCTTGCAGGAATACAAAGAGCCACACCATGTAATTCATGAGTGGACTTCTATGGGATAGTCATGCTTCATTGATCGTCTCGTCAATCTGAGCAAAGTTCAGACCTAGTACGCCATTTACCAAGTGGCCCCATATCTATATATCACCCTAATTGCAACCAATACGCCATACACAATGCAATCTCACCCAAACAGACACCTACAACTGGATATCATTGTTCAGCAACCGCACCTCCTCACCAGGCTTGAATGCCGGTAGTCCGATATACGGGCATCCATCACACCTAAAAGCGTCGCCCAGCGCGCAGTTCCCGCAGCTGCCCACCTTGCCCTGCACTGTAAAGTCCACCTCGGCGAGATCATCGGCATCCAGTTTGAGTGCATTCAAAGCCTTGTCGGCGGATGCGCGTCTAGCAGCGTCTTCAGCTTCGAGCTTCTCCTTCATACCGCAAGTGCAATCTTTGCAAGCGCGTCGTCGCTTTCCTGGCTTGGGCTGACATTCAGGTGCTGTAATTTGTTAGTCCAAAGAAACCGAATTCAGGGGATTGGAGACATACGTTGAATAACAGGCCGGGCCATGTCTGCTTCAGTGATGAATTCGTCTTCATCAATCAGATCGTCATCTTCGCCAGTAATGATGGGGTCGTCAAGGTCATCGCTAAAGTCCACGAAACCTACACCATTTGGTTTGGCTGGTTCGGTCTGGTTGCGCTTGCCATTGAGGTTGAGTGGGACAGAACCGTCTGGGTTGACTGTGCCATTTGTACCATTTGTTCCATTGATGGCGCCTGTCTTCTTCTTGCCAAACTTCAGCGGTATCGACACAGCCTCTTCTTGCTCTGGCTTTGCCATGCCATCTGCCGTTTCTGTGAGTCCAGCAAGGATAGCCTCTGTTTTCTCAGAGCCTTGCAGAGGACCAGCCTGACTCTTGAGCACCCCTCCAACCTTCAATGCGGCCACTACTTTGTTCATAACATCGCGTGCTAGCAGTTTGTGGCTTTCGCGAGTTGTACCGTCGGCGTCGGCAAGGAGCAGGACAACATCGTAGGTAGAGGCGGGCAGATTGACGAGACCAGCCGCGATGCGATCCAGCATCTGCAAGTCTGTTGATTTGCGGTCATGGATTTCGTAGACCTTGTCGAGTTGCTCAGGATGCGCTGCGATCGACGGCGTACCGATAAGTAAGCATCGCGGGGCCATGGCGGGGCACAGTGGCGTCGTGTGTGTGTGCGGAAGGAGGGGCAGATTTGTATTGCAAAACCAAATGTGAAAGCAAGATGTCTTGCGAAAAAGAAGCAGAAATTCGAGGAAGAAAACCGTGGTGGATGTAGCAAAGCGTGGCCGGGAAACTTTTCTCAAGATAGTTTGCGGCTTCGGAGACGTGCTGATGCAAGCAACAAATCCGCGGCGATTGGTCATACGACCCAGGGCCGATGGCGAGGGCGGAACGGACGAGCTGACCATCACGTGATGTCGGAGCCACGGAGGCATGGCGCATGACTTTGGCCCGCCTATGTGGAGCTGGTGCATTAGCGCCCATGAGATACTTGTGGAATCCGGGGTAGGGAACGCTGCCCGCTCGAGGTTGTGAGCCAAGCAACTTTGGATATTGCGCAATACGAGGGCTTTGTATGCATACTGGATATCTAGAGGTATGCAAGTATGGTTGGGCAATGAACTGAACCAGTCTGCGCCGGTGTTGTTCAGTACTTCGCCTCCGGTCTCTTGCTCTAAGCACGCGACCAGCTTGCGCGCCAGGTACCAAGTGACGTACCCAGCCTCCCTCCCCGCAGCTCCTTTGCTCACAGAGCCCAGGGACCGAAGATCCGATTGATAAAACCACGCTGGCCTCAACTTTACCTTGCTGCTTCTGTAAATTGCAATGGCCAGCATCGGGCCCTTCCAAGCGAATCTTCTAGATGATGGCCCCAACAAGGCCCTGTGGTGGTGTACGTGCCTCCATATAAAGGGAGCCCCGGGTGCTTTTGCCAGCTTCCCCGCTCTGAGAACGATACGCGTGAGACACACTACGCTTGCCCTAAGTTTTGACCGGATCAACGCTCTTCTTCCCCTCCTCAATTCACGTCATTGCTCTTGTGCTCGTCGCTGCTGTGACTCAAACCAACTCCAGTCAGATCTGCAAGGTACGCAAACCGGCTATGCTGTTTTACCTACGCAGGAAGACGCCATCGGGCCAAAGCTCCTATCACGAGACCATGTACTGACCCACTGCTCCAGAGTACCTTTAAGCACGCTTGGAGTAATCCCGAGCTCCGTTCCTGTCTACTTCAGCTCGACACCACCCTCATCTGCATCAACCTCCTCGCATCAACCTCCTCGCACCATACGCTCGCACTCACCCTTTACTCCACCAGCTACAAACCAACAAGTAAGTGATTCCTTTCGCCATGTCTCTCTTGCCTATCTTGCGCGCTGGTGTTACTCCTTGCTGGCGTCCACTTCTTGCTGGCGTTCAATTTCTGCTGGTATTTACTCCTCACTGGCGGTCAATTCCCACTGTATTACTCCTGGCTGGTATACACTTGTCGCTGGTTCACTCAAACCCATAATGTCATCTATGGCTGTTCAACGTCCTCGATACGAGCATTCAGTTTCACGCTAGATGCTGACTGTTAAACCCAGTGACTCGCTCCCACAAGTACACTGACCGTGACCACGCTGGCATTGCTGATGGCACTGCCGAGCGTGAAGCACGTCTTCCCAAGTACTTTGCCAAATCCGGCCATGCTGACACGGACCCAACCAAGACGAAGAAGGGCGGCAGCGGCAAGGGCAATTGGTAAGTCTCGCACCCTCCTACTCATCCTCAGCACCTATTCCGAAAGACCCGACAAATCTGGCGCAACGCTACCTGCCGTTCATCACACGCCTCCTTTCATTCTCAAGATATAGCAGGCTGACGGTACATGCAGGGGTGCCATGGGCGACGAAGTCGAAGACATTAGGCCCAATATGGCCAATGCTCGCCGTCGAAGTAACTCATCGACTCATAATTTGAAGGACTTCAAGACCAAGTTCGAGACCATCGAGACTGAGCCCGTCTTCGAAGAATCCATCCACGGCCCAATGGGCGAGGAACTCGAGAAGCAGAGCACTACCTCTACCGAGAACAGCATTGCTGAGGAGGACCACGGCAAGAAGTTCTAGTTGTAGCAAGCACAAACGACGCAAGCGGTATCGGTATGGCTGCGAGTTGCCTGGCTAGTTGATTCGTGGGAAGCCATTGCCTGGTGACTGCCGTCGAGTCTTTGAGACCATATGTACAGTGTGGAGCATGTCGTTTTATTTACTACGTCGACAGCTGCGATGCAAAGCCTTCACGTCATGTACCTGACATAAATTGTAATAAGTAACTTTATGAGAAATGAGAAACGAATCTTCAAAAACATCTTTCCATTGCCGAGTGTGATGAAACAACAGCCGATCTGAAGGCTTGTGCTTGTGCTTGGTTTTTTTCTTTGGTCAAGAACCACATCTGAGTCGGCGGGGCATATAAGAAGCGCCAGCTGCGTTCAGAGTTTGACAGTTCCTGGGGATCCTTTTGGACTTGTACTCGCAGTGCAACGAGAGCATGCAGTGCATCGATGGGGGGATGAAAGCGCACTAGTTTGAGGATGTAGTAGTATGCATGTGAAAGAAATTGCCAGATAGTCGATTCTGATGCGCCACGTTTGTGAAAGGTTGGCTTCAGGGCACGAGATCCGTTTGCAGAGCACGTTGTTTAACTCCGTGTCCTAGCGTTGATCGGATCCCTGTCACCAAAGCTTCCAAAACAGACGCATTCTTAGTTGTTAATCACCAACAACCCAAGCGAAGAGCCAACACCATCACCGGCGCGCTCTTTCGCGTTCTAAACCACTTCTAAACACACTGTTCATCATGTTTTCGCCAGAGGCTTCGATCCAAAGCGCGCGCAGCTCCCTGCGCAATCCCCGACGCCGCCAGCGCAAGGACTCGGACGGCCCCCAGCAGCAACGGAGCCGGAAGCGCAGTAAGCTCAACGATGAGGCCTTCAAGGATCCAGCCGGCGCGCACATGAACGGAAATGGGAGCGTTCAGATTAATGGTCATGCAGTTCAGAGCGTCGAGAATTCCGTCGTTCTGGTTGACATGCCCGTCCGCGAGAAGAAGACAGCACCGAAGCAGCGCGCGCCCAAAGAAGAGACTGGTTCATATCTTGTGAGTCTGCAGAGTAGCCGAGACATTGGCCATCACTTACAAAATGCATTATAGACAAAAAATGCAAACTACAGCGTAAAGAAACTCCCCGGCTTTCCGTCAGCGCTTCTCCGCCCTTCGAGTATGCCGCAGCCTCACCCCGTCCGACGCGCACTTGCTAACTGACATCACCAGCCCCCATATATGCAACCGCACTCCCCTCGGCTGGTCTCGCGCTCGCCCTGACTTCGGATCGAGCCCTTGTCTGGGACTACAGCGCCCCGAACGGCCCTACAAAGGTCGTCTCCTTAAATCTGGGCTTTGGTCTAAGACCATCCGAGCCTCTGCCACTAGGTGCCATCGTACGCAACGGCCCCACAAACGACTTCGGTGTCGTCGCACTCGCGCCTTCGACAGGCAAAATCAGTTTCTGGGAGAGCATTGACAGCGCCGATACCCGAAGCCTCTATCCCCAGCGCCAACAAGGAGTGGAGGGCTTCGTCAAGCTATACTCTGGAGAAACCATAACCAACCTGGTGGATGTCGAACATGCGGGCTATGTCCTGGTCTTCAGCAGTGGCAGATTGGCCCAACTTACCCTGCGCGACTCGCAAGGCAGACCCAATGTTGTAATCACCGTTTTGAGCGCACCCAACAGTTCGGGTAGTAGCTTCTTCAGTCTCAAGGGCCTGTTGGGAGGATCAATTCGCAAAACCATTGCCTCAGTCAAGGCCCGCACTTCGCAGTCAAAGGGCCATATGGATGTCATATCCGCAACAAAGAACGGTCTCTTTCAGCTTTGGGATTTGAGCTGGTCGGGACAACATAGCCACCATCGGGATGTGGATGTACACGATGCAATTCTTTCGGTGCTCCAAGTTGACACAGTGCCGGAGATACGCAATCAGCAGGATGTGCATGTGCTGGACTTTGCGATTGTCGAACAACAGCAGAGGCATGACGTCGTTGAGCTTCTCGTGTTGGTGGCCTTGTCTGGTCGAGATTCGATGGATTATTCTCTCCTCGAACTGGTCTTATCAGGAGCCGGAGGTACAGTCAACAGGGTGATTCCGCTTCGCAACTTTCACCAACCCCAGCTACCAAAGGAACCCACCGGAACCCTGTTGGTCCCGCAACCCGGACACACCGCATATGTGCAGTTCCCAGGCGCCGTGTGTGTGACTGCCCTCGCCCACCCCGAAGAAAGTCCTGAAGCACAACTACTGGCAGATGCCGGACGACCCAGCCTGCCTTTCCAGGACACAATATACTTCCGTCCTGATGTAACGATATCTGGAAATGCCCTGGAGATAGCACTACGAAAGGATAGGCGAGCAACTGCACTTATCTTTGTCCAACAATTCGGACTTTTGCAGATCAGTGCACTATCTCCAACAACGGAGGAACAGAATAATGGGCGAGCCAAGGTCACGGCACTCAGCAAACTTGAGCAAGCGACATTCTTCAGCACTATTCCTGGCAACATTATTGACTTTTCGGTGAAGTCACGGTTTTCGTTTCCAGAAGAAGAGACTGCGGAGGCGGCGCGCGCCATTAGCGCTGGTATTTTGAGCTCATCCTACGACTACCTTGAGAAAACCACCTCAAATATGGACGAACAATTCCAGCAACGCACTGGCGCGCTGCAAACTTTGATCTCACAACTGCAAAGCAATTACCCACCACTGTCTTTTGATACAAAGTGGCGGCTGCTTTGGCACGCGGAAAAGCTAACGGCTGCACATAAGCTATGGAATTGGTACCAGGACAAATTGCAGGATCAGCAAGCCCATCCAGACGCGTATCCGGAAAAGATTCTAATGAGCGATATCATTAGAGCCCTGAATGAGCGCTACAAGACGCCCATTGACCGTGAGCTTGGCGAGACCGATACCATCCGACAATTCTTCCTCAAAGATGTCGATTCGTTGGGCGTTTTGATTCCTTGGGGTTGGTTCTACCTGCGAACCTTTTATATGAAAGAGGGCGCAAAGGAACAGGGGTCGATTATGCAGAGGCTCAGTGAGGGCACTGATGTCATGCTTGTGGCTTTGGAGGCTGCCTTTGAGTTTCGGCAAGCCAATGTGGAATTGTATGGGCTCGATGGTGATTGTCTCGACGACGGCATTCTCAGAGCAGAAGAAGGCTACGACCTGCTTCCCCAGTTCTGGACATCGTCTCACAACATTGTCAGCTCAATTCGCAGTCTCATTGACGTTGGCCGGAATCTCGCAGTGGAAAACTACGAAGAAGGCTACCAGGAGACTCTTGCGCAAAAGATTGGCAAAGACAATCCTCGCCTGGTGAAGCTGGGTTGTCAAACGCATATCGAACGCTTCCAATGGGCTCTTGCGCAGAGTGACGAGAAGACGCGAGCAATGGGCCGCAGCCTCAAGGACGAATGGAACAACAATGTCCGGCCATCGCACATTATGGGCCTGATGGAGATTGGGCTCGCAACAGAAGGAATGAAGCTGGCTGAACAGTACCGGGACATGGCTACGCTGGTGAGCCTCATTTGGGAAGAGACGAATTGGCTCGAGTCAGAAAAGGCGAGTACACGCAGCAAGATGGAGCAGGCGGAAAGCACAGTCAAGCTCAACCGGATTAAAGAGCGTATCGCGCGCTACTTTGCCATCTATGGCGACGAGTGGGCTGGAGCCTTCTACAATAAGTACATTACGGAGAACCAAGCGGGCCAGCTGTTCATGAAGGACTACCTCAACCAACCAGCGCTTACCAAGTTTTTGCGCTCTGAACCTTCGCGCGTGCGGCTCGCGTGGATCAACGATGTGTGCGGCGAGAAGGATTACGAGGCGGCAGCCGAAGCACTGTACGAGGCTGGTTCGAAGCAGGAGACCAACTCGTGGTGTCAGCGTGTGGAGCTCTCCATGGCCAAGCTCGCTCTGCTGTGCAAGAAAGAGGTGAAAGAGGACGAGGAGCAGCAACCGCTGTTTGATGGGCGCAGGGAGAAGCCAAAGGCTTTGAAGATGCGTGAAGCCATGTTCCAGAGCATCGAACAGCAGTTGGAGTACACCAAGATCCAAGAGGAGGTCTACGAGCGACTGCTCCCCGTCATCACAGGTGCTCTGGACGAGGAGTCTGCCGTCGAGCTGTTGATGAATGAGTTTGGTCAGGGCCGTCTCAAAGACAGGCCAGCGCATCAGGCGATTCTCAAGGAAGGCTTCGAGAATCTTGTGCAGCACAAGGTGATTGATGCGGCTCTCATGATTGACATTCTTACGTTGATGAATGCGGATGACCACGAGGATGGCACAACTCTGCTGGGAGGAGACGAGTTCGTCTACGCCTTTAGAGTTCTGGTTGTGAGCTGGCAAAACATTCATCGAACGACACGCGAAGGTCTACTGAAGCTGGTGTGGAAGCGACTGGCAATCAAAGATGACTGGGGTACGATCAACAACACGAGGGACATTACGGACGCTAGGATCACTGATGTGCTCCGGGATACTGCAGTATCATGGACATTCCGAGCCTTGTTCAGGATGTGTGGTAAGCTGCCAAGTCTTCGCAAAGGTTACTCACTCGCTAACGTTTCTGCAGCCGAGAACCCATTTGCTCGGATTGTATGGCCCAAGAGCCTGCGGGATCTTCTGGGAGCCGGGGGTACGCATGGCGAGCTTTGCGTGCGCTTTGCAGCCGAGGATCTCCGCGAGCCCATTATCAGGGACAACCTGCTTGACGACGATATTCTACAAGAGCACTTGGAGAAGAACCGGCTTAGTGACTGGTTCAAGGAAGCATGGAAGGCGGGCAGGGCAATGTATGACGAGGAGCTAGTACTCGAGGGCAAAGCGCAAGCGGTGCCTGCCGAGCCCGAGACGACAGTCAACGGGGCAGGAGCAGAGACAGAGGCAGAGGCAAAGGCCGAGATTGAGGTAGAAGCAGCAGGGTCGGACACATTTGATGGCGACGATGAGAGTGCGTTGGAGCAGGAACGCGATGTCGACATGTTGGAGTCGCGAGAGTGAAGGGCTGTGGCTGGGAGTCGGCTTCGTATTCGGGAGTTTTATCGGGGGCGGAGAAGGCTGGGTAAGCGAGCAAGCATGAAGCATCTAGGACGGCGTTGGGTAATCTGTGACCGCCAACCGCGCAGACGGGCTGTTTTTTCTTCCTTTTCTTTGCTTCGTATTGTCTTCTTCTTCTCCGTGTTCTTTTTTCCGCTTTTTTGTTTTATGTTTGCTTTCTTCTCCATGGCTGTACTTGTAGCACGGGGCGGTGGTGCAGGCGTTGTGTGGCGGGCATGACTAGGCGGCGGAAGGGGGGATGGGGATGGATGGACCGGTGTGGACGGCAGTGTATAAGATTTGACGATTCGGGTAATGCATGAACATGGGCGAGCATCCATGAATAGTGACATGCACAACGGCGTATTGGCCAGGGTCTCGACTGTGTTCTGTGGGCCTGAGCGTTCATTTGACGGTGGGGACTAGCCTTGGCGAGGGCGGAATGTGGCGCCAGCGAGCGAGGGCAGAAGGCGACGCGCAGCCAATGACGCGCGCGCAACGTGACCGTTGGATGCACGCCGTCGTCCAGAGACAGCGAGATAGCCAGCGCGACGGTGAGGCGGACCAGGTCGCGCAGTCGGCGTGGCGCTCAGGTGGACGGTTGGCTACTGTCTCGGGGTCAAGCAGCTGCGACAGGCATGGCCAGACGCGGGCTGGTTGCTTGGGAACGCTGCAGCGGTGTGCGGCGGGCGCAGATTGGGGCAGCTTGCCGCAAAAGATCATCGCCCGCCAGTGGATAGCCGGCTCGTTGTGGGCGTCGATGCTGGCCGTGGTTACCATGGGCTCTGCGTCGCGCGCCCTTCCCCTTGGGCGCACGCGCGCCAGTGTCGTGTGTGGTTGTGGGACCGACTGTCGAATCTCCGCGATCAGACATGGGAGCGCTGCTTTTTCCTCGGAGGCATGCTGGTTTGGGCGTGGGCAGTTCTGCAGGTACACGCTTGCATGCGACATACGTATTTACATGTTACTAGCAGGACGTAGCACCCAGCCTGCAAAACACATGACAGCCGCCCGCCTGGTTGCCATGGCCTGCGACACATAGTGTACACACGCACACGCACACGCACGCTGCCCGGCCTGGCAGTCCATGAACCGCGGAACGAGGGCGAGGACAGCCTTGGGACATGGCGCCATTGGTACATACTTGTATGGTGCTTTATGCACATACATTTATATATAAACATACCACATATCATATATACGTAAATATACAAACACACACATGTACATACACAGACATGTACATGTACACACAAGTACACACACTCCACGACAACCGCCCGGCAAGTGCGTCGGGACAGGTCGTCGCCCTCAGGTGCTCAGTCCCGTGCTCGCGCTCGCTGTGATGAATTGGCCTAGTGAGCCGGATGCAGGCTAAGGTGCGCCGCGCACGGGCCCCCAGTGTCGCTCCCAGCAGCCCCTTCTCCACGCCTTTTCCACCCTTCGAGTCGGCTGCTCTTCTTCACTACCCACCCGTCGTCTCACGTCCATTCTTCTGACCTCCCCGTCAACTCGCACGCTGCCGTCAGCAGCCTCGTCGCTCTCGACTCGCCCTCGATTCGACCGACCTCCCTCCCACCCGACACTCTTCCCTTGGTAAGGACGCCGAGTCGCGTCCCCCGGCTGCATAGCCCCAAGCCTCATCACCGGAGAACGGCTGCGGCCTTGCCTCGCTGTCGCCACAACCACCACGACCACTTCCGCTACGGCGATTCCTCCCTCCTTCCATCTACTCCTCGTCACCACCACCACGCCAATACACCTCCATCACCATGGCCAGCGGCAGCACGAGTTCCAACGTTGTCGGCGTGCACTATCGCGTCGGCAAGAAGATCGGCGAAGGCAGCTTCGGCGTCATCTTCGAGGGCACCAACCTGCTCAACCAGCAGCAGGTTGCCATCAAGTTCGAGCCGAGGAAGAGCGATGCTCCTCAGCTGCGTGATGAATATCGCACTTACAAGATCCTTGTGGGCTGCCGTGAGTCTCTACTTTCCTTCTCCCCCCCCCTTTACCGCCTGTTGTGTCCAACCAGCCCTGCCCCGGCACGTGTTTCTGCAGGGACACCAGACACACCCATACCTGACCGGGCCTGTCAATGCTTCGTCGCGCAGTGTATGGACAATGCTCTATCGATGTTTGCCAACTTTCATCATCAATGTTGCTGCATTCATCTCATCAACTGCAATGTTTGTTGTCTACATCCACTGCTAGCCTCGGCATCCGCATTGCGCACATTACGGACCACGCACACACACACACACATACACATGTATCGCAAGAACAAGACTGACCACAAACAGCCGGGATCCCTAATGTTTATTACTTTGGCCAGGAAGGCCTCCACAACATTCTGGTCATTGACCTCCTCGGCCCCAGTTTGGAGGACCTCTTCGACCACTGCAACAGAAAGTTCTCCATCAAGACTGTTGTCATGGTAGCCAAGCAGATGGTATGCATGAAAACGACTTGACCGTCCTACTCACGTGCTTACCTTTTTGCAGCTTTCGCGCGTCCAGACCATCCACGAGAAGAATCTCATTTACCGCGACATCAAGCCCGATAACTTCCTCATCGGTCGCCCCGGCTCCAAGAGCGCCAATGTCATCCACGTGGTCGACTTTGGTATGGCCAAGCAATACCGTGACCCCAAGACTAAGCAGCATATCCCTTACCGCGAGCGCAAGTCTCTGTCCGGCACCGCTCGATACATGAGTATCAACACCCATTTGGGACGCGAACAGTCGCGTCGTGATGATCTCGAGGCTCTCGGCCACGTCTTCATGTACTTCCTGCGCGGCGGACTGCCATGGCAAGGTCTTAAGGCTGCCACCAACAAGCAGAAGTACGAGAAGATTGGAGAGAAGAAGCAGACTACCCCCATCAAGGACCTCTGCGATGGCTTCCCTGGTACGTCGAATATAGTCACGACAAGCTTGTTTCACACTAATGATACGCAGAGGAGTTCAACAAGTACCTCAGCTACGTCCGTAACTTGGGCTTCGAGGATACCCCCGACTACGACTACCTCCGGGAGCTCTTTACCCAGGCCCTCAAGAGCACTGGAGAGATTGAGGATGGCGAGTATGATTGGATGAAGTTGAACAATGGCAAGGGGTGGGAGGCGATGAAGTCGCACCCGTCCGCTGTTCAGGCCATGCACCACTCCAATGTCAACCCAAACTCGTCCATGGCCGTCAATCTCCAGGGCCAGCAGCACAGGCAGCAGAAGACGCACCTCCCCATCGACCATCACCGCTTAAACGAGCCCCTGCCCAAGCCTGGAGCGACACGCGCTCAGCAAGGAAGAAGCCCAAGAGAGAACATGAACCGTGATTCTCAGATTAAGAGGAAGAGCATGGGTGAGCTCGCACCTCCTGAGGGCGCATCGACACAAGCGCAGTTTCAGCACAGCCAGCAAAACTTGTCACAGAACCGCGCTGCGCCTGCCAGCAGCCCAACTCCTCAACAACCGAGACAGCAGTCTCCCGAGAAGCCGAGCTTCATGCAAAAACTGGCAAACGCACTGTGCTGCGGCGCCAGCAAGTAGTAGTCGCGGCCCCTCAAGCTTGGTTTCCTTCCCTTTGCGTTGCATCCTGGAGTCCGTTCTTTGAGCGATAGTATTCCTTCGGTCACGTTTTCTTCCTGTATAGGTATCTTGTAATGATTGATAGACGGGATCGAAAATCTCCTTCCACGGTAATAGTTACGACGACCGATCGACCGAACTGCCTCCCACACGAGCCCGGATCTCTCATCAGCGCCGAAAAAAAACATCACTACCATCTTTTTGTCTTCATGTTTGCGCTCCCGTGTTGCAAGACCACATGACCTGGCGGCCATGCGTTGTGGGAGTGCGAGTGCTTTCGATTGGGCGCTTGCGGCGTTGAGGTGTGCTTGGCGAGGGCTTGCACTTGTGGCATGTCGATTTCTTTATCCAATTTTTTTGTTCTGTTTTTTTGGTACGAGGAAAATATAGCATGTAAAGGAGTCTCTTTTCAAGTCCCACGGCAGTACTGTATTTTTTGTACAGAGCGCGAGCGAAGGTCCGAGACGAAAAGAAACAGACGGAGCGCGCTTTAGTTCAGGTAGAGTAGTTGAGAAGAACGCAAATAGATCAACTCACCACACCAAACGGGTGCATTGCCATGGTGCCTTTTTCTGAAGGGGGGGCGATGCTGCACTTGTCTTTGAGCAGCAGCTGGTAGACAGGCAGATGGTTGCAGCCATCAGAGAGACTTGACACGGTTCTGAAGGGGGCTAAGAGGGGTCGTGATCAGATGGCCTGGAGCTATGGCCTTTTTGCGTATTTGATTGGAAGGTGCCTTAACAGCGGCAATCCATGACTCCATAGCTGTACCAACCTGTAGCGGCAGCAAAGAACCTGGACTGCGGCTTGTTCGGCCTTTTTGCCTTGATTTTGGTCGCATTCCCATTTGAATGCTTTTGCGCGCACCTTTTTGGGTTTTTTATGCCCACCCAACCCGATTTTCTGCCAAATATTGATTTCTCTCACACGTGAGGTACCCGCCGCCGCAGGGTCCAACGCGACTTCCCAACATCGAAATTAAGCTCGTCCACTCAGCCTGGGGCCTGCGATTCCATCAACCGCACCCTCTCCTTTCAACCGCTCATCGACGGACGGCGCCTTGCGATAGTTGCGATGGCGTCGGGACGCGATGTGCGCGATATGCTCGGCCTGCCTGCTGCCGGCGGTGATGCGCCAAAGACAGTAGGTTCAGCAGCACTGGCGGCGCAGACACAGAAGCGGTCAAAGCCTGCGGGAGGGAGCAGGAAGATACGTACGTTTGGCAACTCTTACGTCTTTCCTTGGGAAATCGTCAAAAGGTCGAGACTGACTCTCATTCGACCAGAGGGCGTTGCGCGCGAGGTTGCTGCGCTGTATGGTGAACGGCCGCCGCCCGTCGCCGTCTACGAGGAGAAGAAGGCGTACAGGGCGAAGAGGCAGAGCACAGGGCCGGCAAAGAAATGGTACGTCTGACAAGAGAGAGAGATACAAGAGGATGGACTAATCGCGTTGCGCAGGATACAACAGCCCTTTACCAATCCCGCGCGTGCCGATGGCCTTGTGCTGAGGCACTGGCGGCGCAAGCCCACAGCCGCACCGCCTGTACAGGAAGCCGATGACGCGACGATGCACGAGGGCGACGCGGCAGACACATCAGACACCTATGTCGAAACATGCTCAGACTACGCAAAGTACGATATCAAGGTCGACATGCCCAGCTTCACCGACGAGGAGTACGACCAGTTCCTGCGCAGCGACGACTGGAGTCGCGAAGAAACAGACTACCTGTTTGAAGTCGTCCGAGACTATTCGTATCGATGGCCTGTCATATGGGATCGCTACGACTATCAGCCGTCGCGACAGTACGCGCCAGACTTGACAGACGGTGGCGACCAAGCACTCGCAACAATGCCGTTTGCGCCTTCAAAAAAGCGATCACTAGAAGATCTCAAAGCGCGCTTTTACGACATTTCTGCGAAGCTCATGAAGCAGCGCATACCAGAAGTCTCCATGGATGCCGACCAATACAGCCTCTACGAGATGCTCACCAAATTCGATCCTGTCATGGAAAGGAACCGCAAGATGCTAGCTACAGCGCTCATCAACCGCACAATGGACGAGGTCAAGGAGGAGGAATTCTTACTCACCGAACTCCAGCGCATCAACATGGCTGCCAACCGTCTCGATGCCGAACGCGAAGAACTCCGGGCACGGCTCGACGCACCACCCCAGAATCCACAAGCCTCGGCAGGGTTACAAGCCTTTACATCATCACAAGCGCTACAAGCTCTTTTCCAGCAATTATTCCAACAAGACCGCAGCAAGAAGCGTGCAGCCGGTGGTGGGTCAGGACCTGGTCGGCTCAGTCTCTCCGCCAACGACATGGTACACACTCCTGGCTCAGCGCAACAACAACTATCCGCAGCGAATCGCCGGCAAAGCATGGCACAGAACCAACAAACACCTGCCCAAACGCCTGTCAAGCATCTCTCTCCACACCAAGAGCATCGCTTCAACGTATCAACACACGACCGGCTCACATCAGGAGTTACGTTCGGCTCTGACAAGTTGCTTAAGATGCGACAGGCCAAGAGCAATGTTCAGACGCAAAAGATTGGCCAAATGCTTGCAGCGCTGGGTGTGAGTGACATTGTCCCAATACCCACTAGCAAAGTGGGTGAAGTCTTTGAAGTTTTGGTTACCAAGGTCAGCAAATTGCTCGATGTGCGAAAAGTGCGTGAGAAGGAAGAGGGAGAATGCAAAGTTTTGCTTGCTATGAAAGAACGGCGCATGGGTAGTGGAAACGGAAACAACGGTGGTAGTGGCGGCGGCGGCGGCGAGGAAGGCGAGAGCAGACCGAAACAAGAAGTACGCGATTCGCAAGAGACACCTGGCGCGGATGCTGATGCCGACGGGGATAACGACGATGAAGACGATGTCAACAAGAACTATGGCGACGATGCCGAAGGAGACAACGACGACAACGAAGAAGGCAACGATGCAGACAATGCTGAGGACGACGCCGAGGGTGAAGAGGATGAAGGTGGTTTCAATGGCGAAGACGCTGATGATGGCGATGTGGATGCCGAAGGCGAGGACGACAGCAAACAACAGTCTCGAGCAACGAGTCACAGCGCGTCTGGCCAAGGGCACAAGAGAAGTGCAAGTGTCTTTTCACAAGGGAGCGAGATGAGCAGCAAACGAGCGAGAAAGTAGAAAGCTTGGTGTTTTCTTTTCGTTGTTGTTGTTGTCGTCGTCTTCGTGGGTTGTTGATATTATCCCCTTTGTGCCTTGAACATTTGCATAGCGTTGGCGTTTATGGGAGGGAATAAAGCTAAGGCTAAGGGAAAGAAACGGGGGGTTCATGATCCCATCCATCAGTAACGGATACATGGATTAGGCTATGTTTCTAACAAATGTACAAATACCTCTTCTGCTTATGTTTACAATTTCTATGCTTCCTGTGAAGCTTCCTATGCATAACTTTCATCTCAGAGCATCACATCTTTGCCTTGACCTTGTCATTCTCTTCCAACGTCGTGAACATCGCCGTCCGCCGTCCCCCCTTAAACAGCTCCAACATCTGCCTCCCCATCCACGCCTCCCTACTCTTAATCAATCCCGCCTCCACATCCGCAAACCGATCCGCCTGCACCCAAACGCCCTTACCATTCGCCGCCATTCCCTCGCTCAACAACCCACACACCGCCCTCGCCACCGCATCTGGTGAATTGATCGGTACCCCCCACTTTGCCATCTCCCTCGCATGCTCCTCAGGCGGTAAATCCCGCAACGCTGGCAAGCCCTGCGCCAGGATCGGGGTCACAGTTATGCCGGGCGCAACGAGCGAAATGGCAATGCGTAGTTTGGCGCATTCATGCTTGAGCGCGCGCAGCAGCCCGACAAGACCGTGTTTGGCAGCGGAATAGAGCGGTGCGCCCGCAGAGCCGAGGTAGCCTGCCAGACTGGCCGTTAGGACTATGGATCCCGCCAAGTCGCCGCTGTCGCCGCCATTCTTGCGCAAGTAGTGGATTGCGAGCTTGGTAGTGGCAGCTGCTGCGTTGAGGTCCAAGGTGAGAACTCTGTGGTCGGGTTCGGCGAGGTTGCCGGAGGAGTCGAGGGCGGAGGTGAAGAATTGGTCGCCATGTTCGGCTATGCCGGCATTGACGAAGACGGCGTCTATGCGGGAGAACTTTGCGTACGCGGCGGCGAAGGCGGCGCGTTGGGCGGGCCAGGAGGTGACGTCGCAGGTGTGGACGAGGAGGTGGGAGGGAGGGTGGGTGAAGGTTGGGGGTGGGGGGTGGAGGTCGAGCAGGATGAGGTTGTGGTTTGGGTTGAGGGCGGAGAGGAGAGTGGCGGTTGCGAGACCGATTCCTGAGGAGCCGCCTGTTATGAGGATTGTTTTGGGGGTGGAGTTTGGGGGTGCGAGGGTGGAGAGGGAGGGGTCGAAAAGGGCCATTGTTGTTGCTGATGGTGTTGCAGTATGGGATGGGGAGGAATGTTATGCGATGTAGTGCTATGTCAAGTATCTTTACATGGCAGTGTTGTTTAAGACTGTGAAGCTAGGAATAGGCTTGATGACAATTGACAGTAAACAAACAGTTTTATGCTGGTGAGTGGATTCGGATTTTGAGGTCCCGATTTGCATCTCGTGCATATATACATGCTGTGATTGGGATCCTTTAGCTAGGTTAAAGTCGTATTTGCGGGGCTGTCTTACGATCTGCCCTTTTGAGCATATATCCTGAATCATGGCCGTTGCTGCTGATTCGACTGGGATATAAATGAGAAGTATACCTTTTTTTACTCAGGACATATATGGTATACTAAAGATCAGTGAGAGGTAGAAAAGATGTCTTTGTAGAAACCAGATGAATTTGAGCATGACTCTGGTCATAAAGTCCAGAGGTACGGTATGAATGTACTTTCGAGAGACAATCTAATCTCCTGTTATTTGCAAATAAATCAAGAAGAAGATGCATAGATTTCCATAATTGAAAGTATGTATGTGGTCAACTCCAGGTGGTGGGGGTTCAGCGCGCCAAACAAAGGAGCGGCGCACGTGTCGACAGTCTAACCGCTTTCGGAACGTACACCTGGAGTTTCTGGAACTCGACACATGCACTTTGAGCTCCGGGATTCCCAAGTGCACAAGCTCACCAATACTCAAACTCCGCGCTACGACCAATCCTTTCTCGCGGGGTGACTCTCGACCTCTCAGAATGTGGAAACCAACAGTCCTGCTCGCTGCTGCCCTGGCGGTTCCGGCACAAGCACTTCACTTCTTCCTGGACGGCGCAGTCCAAAAGTGCTTCTATGAGGAATTGCCAAAGGATACACTGGTTGTTGGTACGGGTTACCCTTTGGCTCTGGTCTTTCAAGACTGCTGGACTTTGGAACAGAGCAAAAGAGCCATAACTAACAATATCAGGCCACTACCACGCCGAGCCCTGGGACGACGCGACCAAGTCCTACCTGCCCAAATCCGATGTCAGCGTCTACGTAACGGTTGAAGAAACATTCGACGATAACCACCGCATCGTGGCCCAAAGGGGCTCTGCCGAAGGCCGCTTCACCTTCAGCGCCGCCGACAGCGGACAACACAGGATCTGTGTCATTCCTCAGAATGTCCAGGGCGGAGGCGGCTGGTTAAACCAGGGTATCCACGGCACCGTCAGGTTCACCCTCGACATGGCAATTGGAGAAACGAGCAGGATCGAGAGCACGGACAAGGACAAGGTCGAGACGCTGGTGCAGAAGGTCAAGGACTTGAACTCGCGACTACTGGACATTAGGCGAGAACAGGTCTTCCAGAGAGTACGTCTGACTGCAATCCATCAAACTGAAAAAGTGGAGGAGGCTACGTTTATGGAAGCAGGCTAACATATTATACAGGAGCGCGAGGCCGAATTCCGCGACCAGTCCGAACACACAAACTCGCGCGTCGTCCGCTGGTCAATCATCCAGCTCGTCGTTCTCGGCGTCACCTGCGTCTGGCAACTATCGCATCTGCGCTCCTTCTTCATCAAGCAGAAGCTTACCTAGAATCACCCCACGAAGAGGACCCCCCCCCCCCCTTCATGCGCGTATCTAACGAAGGGGTTGCGGGGCAGGCTAGCGCATGGGGCATATTTCAAAGCAAAAATTCATGCGAATACCGAGGGAGGTTTGGTAAAGCGTGACTTGTATTGTACGGCGGGCGGAGGAATACATGGCGTTGAAGAATTGATATTGCTGGGTGTTCAACGTTGGATCGTTTTTTGAATCGAGCAGGGGCATTGCAGCATCGTGTTAGTCAGAGTATATGCCCGTAGTTGCGGTGTGAGAGGCGACTTTATTGTCCTCTCCCTTTTTCTTTTTTAAAGGGGGGTTGCATGATTATGTATATGCTGAATGGGAATTGGAGAAGGATGACGGATATGTTATATCTCACCAATGGAGTATGCTTGCAAACACTTTTTTGGTTTTTAAAGTTCGATATTTGCATTGTGAATTTGGCCTCTTCTTTTTTTTTGTAATAAAGCCGTTGCTTTTTTCCCAAAGAAATGCTGTTATCATATTTCACCCTCTTCGGGAGATCAAGTATAGGAGCATTGCCTTGCTGTAATGGTGCCCCTTTTTCATGTCCTTTTTCCCCATTTTTGACTTGGAAGTTTTCGAAATGCTGATGTGTTTGTTAGATTGGGATGTTAGGTGTGGTGCATGTGGTTTTGAACATGGGACTTTCATGCTTAGAGGTGTAGAAAGGGGGAGAGAGCGATGATAGAGGACAAGAAATTCTGGGGGCTTGGCGCATGTGCAAGAGATGACATTAAACGTTAAATTGTATATACAGTACTATGAAACGATCAAGAATGCCAAAATTGCATTCTCCTTTGGCAGATATTGTGTTTTTGGTTTCTTAGGGTATGGTAAGTTATTACGCATCAGGGTTTTTTAGTCATTGGACTTTCTGTCGGCTATAGATCGTGAAGAGAACGAATCTGCATACTTTTCTGAATGTTGGTGATTTGTTTTGCTGCCGATTGAAGGATAAGAAGAACGGCTCTAGACTTTGCTCCATCGTGATGTTCTGGAATGTGGTTTCCTAAAGTGCGATGCATTGTGACCTTGAAGTGTAAAGGTGATAGCGAGATGAAATCGATGTATGAGGTTATGTAGGGGTGTGGATAATGGATTATGTGTTTGCTGTGGTTAGGGAGAGTATGAAAGAGTGTGCCCGCGACCACTTCGGCTTAGTTCTTGGGAGAATACAATGAGAAAATGATTTTGTCTCTTGCAAGTTTTGCTCTTGTATATTTCTTACATCTGTCAATGAATTATTGTACTTAAAAAAAGCAAGTCTCTCTCGAATATCAGTTGAGTAGTAGAATGTATAGAACTAGATGTGGAAAATCGTTCATCACAGGAAAGAATCAGTTATTTTACGCCTCAGTTTCCGTACAAAAGACATGAATTTATGCACACGGGAGAGACATTACGAGCTACAAAGCCACCCATGCACATGTAGGTGTGATAGCTGATGTCTAAATACTTCAGCATTATCAAAGAAATATATGTGGATTTCTAATTCAGCATGTCGCAATTGGCAAGGAGACTCAACATTGAGCATAAATTTTCTGACGAAGCATGCTGCACTTTCGTGCTAGATACTATTCATGCAGAAGCGTTTTACAAAAGAGCAGGAGATATCGTCCCTAACGAAAGGACGAGGCTGATGACTAAATAAACATTTGTCAGAAAAGTGGTCAGCCAAGTGCGTGACAATCACATGACAAACATATCCTACTCAGATGGCACCATTGGTGACGACAGGGCATGACGTTGGTTGCAGTAACCAAGGGAACGTCTGTAAATGATGGATTTAGGGTTGAGCCCGTTGTGGTCAACTCCTAGAGGTCCTTCTTTTACCCACATATCAATTCCACAAGAGTGAAATTCCTTTCTTAGTACTACCCCACTTCGTCACCAGAGTATCACGCCGTCGTATCTCCACGAAAAACCTACTGGGTCTGCTTACACCGAGTTCGGACTAAGATTAGAGCGATATGTATGGATCTCATCACACGGTGTAATACCGAGGTTCAGTAGGCTCGTGCGAGCCAAAGTAAGCAATACACCACAGCCACAGCGGGATCTAGTGGAGTACGATTATGGTTTTGATAGTGTGACTGTAAGAGGCTATGAAAAGACATAGCATTTCTTAGCGAGCGGGGCGTGTGCGTCCAACGTGCATGCCCCTTTATGTGCTGATGGGAAAGACGTTCTGATGGGATTCTAGAAGCAGATGCGTGTCTGCATCTGTGCATGCGATTGCTTTGGTAGCAATACTTTTAGTAACGGAATCACGGCGCCCTTTCCCATGTGTCTCAGTTAACACTGACTCGATAGAGTCGCGTTCCCGGCAGGCTGGGGCACACTCATCAACTAGTAGACGCCTGCGCCGTGGAAATCAGAACACGACGTCCGGTATCAGACACGAGAAGTCTTATCCACACGAGGACCAAACAATACGAAACCAATACAGTTGATGTTGATCGAGACGTATCGAATTCGTAAAAAAAAAGGCACCAATAGTTCCTTACTCCACAGTCTAGAATAGCACTGATAGTTTGGCCCCCAATCGTGCCCGACATTTGGGGGCGAAATCTCGGAAACCAAGCTCTTAGAGCTGAGCTGACATGCTCACCATGTGGAGTTTGAACGGTTCATCACAGATTAGCGAGAGAGACTAGATCTGGAGGCTGGAAAAGGGACAATGCGCAAACGGGTATGGTGCACGTGCGCATTCGTCCGTGGATTCTGCCGTTAGGTTGGAACTGGTATTTGGCGAAAAGTTTTTTCCCTACTGCTGCAGCTGCAGCAGCACAACCAACACGATTACTGATGCGCTAAGAGTGCATGCCCAGACTGCTGAGCAAAAGCATGTTTGAACAAGGTTCATGGGGACTTCGTACGAAAAAAAGTTTATGCGAAGGTTTGTGCTGCATACTTACGTCGGCCGGCGGTTCCTGGCATGAGGCCGAAGTGCTTTGTCAAGGCTGACAGAACATTTTGCACAAGGATGCATGCTGCCGGACGGAGATAATAGCGTCAGCCGAAAGGTGCTTGGCAGGGTGCGATCGGCCCAATATCGCTTCAAACACGGCCTGGGAGGGGGATGCCGGCCGGCCCAGGAAGCGGCAGAACCCAATATGTTGCTTTGCAGATGTTACTATTAGAGTAAGAACCAGCCAGGTAATAGGCAAAAGGCAAATCGGTACTGGCGACGTAACCATAGTCGTCCGACCCCACCCACCTGCTAGGCTCCAATTGGAAGCCCGGAAGTCTTCTCCGCATTTTAACAGTGGTGTCGCAGATGCCCACTGAATTGAGTTGAGTCTTGTTGCAGCAAAAGAAACCAAACGTGGTTATCATGCGTCGGTCGCATGAAGTTGGGGGGCATAGGGTTGGGGTATGACGTTGAGGGCACAATGCCATGATCTCCCGAACGGGCTTGGTCCGCAGACGTAATTAATAGTGTTAGTGTTGCACTGCTAAAGTTATTGGAAGCCCAATGGCAGCATTGGGTTGCAGTACCCTGGGTTGACGTTGCCCTGCATATGCTGGTTTAATGATTCTGCAATAAGACCGCGTGATTGATAAGACGACAGGAATACGAAAGATCGGGCAATGTGGGTGTAGCAAGTAGAGATAATATCAGCACCTAAGGTGTCAGGGGACGAGTGACCGGTGTGTCACGGCAGCGATGTGAGCGGAGAGCGGCACAAACACGCGATTTGGCGTCATGATCGGCATACAAGCCGCCGTACAGAGGACATGTTGAACGGTAGAAACTTGGACGAAAGCAAGTTGACGCAGGGTCTCATCATCCCATTGTCGCGGATTGGCGGGACGATGAACTAAGGGGTATGGCGCCCGCACAACCGTTTGCGTTGGCGGATGGATGACAGCGTTGTGGGGCCTCCGACAGATGATTTGCACCCTGATATCCAGTCAAGGTCGCGGTACTTGTCTACAGTCGAAAAGAAAGGAAAAGACGCTTACTTGGCAAAGTGCTATAGGGCTCCAAACAAAAATAGAATAATGAAGCAAAGGTGCTTTAGTTAGTATTGCAGCTCGCACTCGCGAAGACACACACACACACACACACAGTTGCGGATGCGGATCTTGGTCGGAAATGGAAAACGAAACTCGGGGATAGTGACGTCATGGCTGATTGCAAGCGAGCGGCTAATGCTCACGCCCAAGCGACAGAGGAAACATCAACGCCGAAGCAACCGGAACACACAAGTGATTTTCATGCTGATTCTAGAGTGTTGTGCGAGTAAAAAGCATAAGCAAAAAGAATCTTTGTATTGCATACCGATGTATGCACCCCTTGCTGGAACTAGTACCTTCGGTCCAAGTGCTCCGCGGAAATCTGTTTGTCGCATGTGGCCGTGCATCCTTTGAGATGTGGCTAGTGGCTTCCATCGGCGAATCGAAGGCCCAGATGTTCGGAGAAGCCGGGGTTACAGCAGCATCGCAGAGTCCGTGCATACGGTAGGGCTGCACTGCCACATGGAAGTGTAATGGACCCTGCATATTGAGGCATCTTGTCCGTCAATGCGATGCCACGTCGACTGGATGGAATGTTTGCTATGCCTGTACAAGCTATCCTTCAGCCTCCAAGGTTCGGAAGAAGTTTCGGTAAAAAAAACTTTCCTTGAGTGGTGTTGTGGTGTGGTGTTGCTTGTTGCGTGTCGCACCGGCGGCTCCGTGGCAGACCAAGGATACTGCCAGTGCCGAAGCGGAACCACTTGTTCCAGCTGCGGGTTATCTGCGGGTTAAGGGAGGACATGCAGCTGATCTTGTAATACAGACACCTATCACTGGCAGCATGTGAAAGACCCAGCTGCGTGGGTGTGGCTGTGTGTCCAGTCTGAGCAAAGCATCCGGGTGATGCGCATCTCGGTTGCCAGTGCCAGCAGCGTGGTGCGGGAACCGTTTGGCCACCACAGATCCAGCTATCAATAGTACAGGGCAAAATATGGGGTAGGCTATTGACGGATAAGTTCTTGCATGATACCACGTGGCATTTTGTCGTTTTACGCGGCCTTGTCGACTAGTCCTGTACGTACGAGCTGAGCATACCGTGACCATTGACCCCAAACTGTCCAGATGGTAATTGTGAGTCACATGTCTACGCATGTGATCAATATTGATACAAGCGGAGACAGTGGTATGGCTGGTGCATTCGATTACTCGACATGCTCGTCGCAGTGTCGCGTATACCGCGCGCATCGAAACGAGGCTGCTCCGCCCAGTCAGAGCCGGCCGCTGTCGTCCGTGTCGCGACGAGGAGCAGCATCAGCTGCCTGTTGAACTGGCTGCAAGCGAGGGTATCACGATAGGGGCAGCCTTGGCCATCGGATGTTGCACGCTGCTCTGCTCTGCTCGATCCGGAAAAACCATACAAGCGACTGCTTACCAAGGCGACGGCCAGCGCGACGACAAGGGCCCGTTTGGTCGAGTAGCAGGTGGGGAGTAGGCTGAGAGGCGTGGGCTCTCAGGCACGTTGTGGCATGCCTGTAGAGATCGCTCGGACGCGCACAGGCGAATCCTCGGTACTGAGAAGGGCGGCAGTAGTGGCAGAGGGTAGTCGTCTCGGGTGCTACCCGAACCCAGTCTAAAAAATTTCAATGGTTGAGGGTCGAGCAGGCGGGCTTTGCACAGCCTTTCGGCCAGACAGGGTCCGGACGGTCGTATGCAGGGTAGAGGTGTGGGTGCTGTCGATCGCGCCGCGGGCTTGCATACCTGGCGTCTGTTAGCGCACACCCCCCTGCAAGCCCCAGCAATCGACCTGGTAGACTTGCGTCATAGGAAAAGGTATGAAAGGAAAGGTCTGCGCTGGCCCATCATGCCCAAGTCGCTTCTGACACTCACTTCAGCAATTAACAATCACTGACGGATACTCGTCAAAGAAATCTCTTAATTCCGGCTTTCCGCGCCCAGCCGGCCCAGAACACAATACTCCCTTCTACCCTCTTCTACACTCGACGACCCTAGATCACCTCATCAAGTCGTTCATCACTCGCATCGGCGACCCATTTCCGAGTCATCGGCCGGCAGCCCGCTAGTATAAAGCAACTTGCCACCCGCGCTGGTCCCTTACTTTTTCCCTTCCGACGAGTATGTTAGCGCTGCCCACACGACGTCAGCACCTGCCAACCATACCGTCACCACCCTGCTCTCAACACCTCTATCAACAACACTCACCCCAGACATTCGCCGCTCAGCCCACCTTCGACCAGAAGCTACTCATCGACTACCTTGAGTCGCAGCAGTACCCTTTTGCCACCTCAACCTCACCCCTTAACTCGTACATGAGCGGCGCATACAGCACCGACTTTGCGAACCCGGCTATCCGCATTCAGCAGTCGACCCCTACACCACAGCTCCCCCAGGGCTTCACGCAGCCGTCCATGCTGTCAGCCAGCAACGCCAGCTCCGGGCTCGAGTCCTGGAACAGCTATGGTAACGTGCAGTCACAGCCACTCCAGACACTCCCCCAGCGACAGAACCGTGGACACCAGCGCGCCTCATCCTCTTCTTCAATAGGCTCAAGTGCCTCGCAGTATCAGCCAGTCGGCCACCCCGCAGGCTACCAGTATGTTGCCCACTCCGAGAATTGGCCCTTGCGCCCAGACGACGCTAACAACAGGCATTCAAGATCACTCCAGAACCATCTCCCAACACCCACACAGACTCCTACCCAGGACTCATTCATGAACGCCAACAACTTCAACAACTACAGCCACAACGCTGTCAACATGGACCATACCATGTCTGCACACATGTCGATGAAGCAGGCACTCATGGAGCACACCGGCGAAGACGTCCCAGACTTTGCTCACTCAGCAGGCCAGTCGGTCTCCAGTTACGGCCACGACTCTCCAGCAACGCCACACACGGCCCAAGACGACATGGACCTCAAGATGCCCGCAAATGGTGAGACATTCAGCAGCCGCATAGACGCCTGGCTCTTCGACGAGTTCTGTACTTACAACGAGCCAGAAATGCGACCTGTACCCAAGTTCGAGAGAACCTACACCGACATTGCTGCCGACACTGGCTTCTATGAGCCCAGCACTTCGAACACATCAGTGCCGCAGTCGAAGCCAGCACAGCCATCACTGCTGTCGCCATATCGCAGCAACACCAACGAGAACGTGCAGCGTGCGCTGCAGGCAGCACAGTTTGCACGCTCTCAATCGCCAAGCAGCACCGCCTCGAGAAGTGACTCACCCTTCCGCAGAGGCTCACCCTACCGGCAGCCCAGCAACAGCTTCACGTCACCCATGGGCACTGCCATGGCGATGCGTGAGCAGAACCGCCAGGCTGATGCGGCTTACGCAATGAAGTCTCACATGTCTGCTACTGAGGACGCTGAGCCCAAGACCATCTCACCCAAGGATGCTCTCCTGGACTACAGGGATACTGATGAAGACTCAAAAATGCCATTATTTCCGGATAATGGTGCTAACGAGTACGGCAACCAATACACGGGTGGCGAACAATACAAGAACGCCACGCAATCCAATTTCGACACTTCTTCATCTCACTCGTATCGGCGCGACAGCTGGAACACTCCTCAGTTTTCACCAAACTTCTCAACGTCGACATCGTCGTCACTGCAGCCATCAACCAACTTCAACTTTGCAACACCATCTCTGCAGAGCAACATGCAAGGACTCTCCATGAATTCGCCCGCGCAATACCGACAAAGTGCCAACAACATGTCATCGGTCGTTGACCAAACGCCCGAGTTTCCCGCACACATGACATCTATGGAGTCTAGTGCGAGCGAAGCAGAGCCGCCCAATGGTAGCCAGAACAGCATGCTATCGGACCGGTACATGAGCAAGCCAGCGTCAACTGGCGCCGAGTCTGGCACATACTCATGCACATATCATGGGTGCTCGCAGCGATTTGAAACACCGCAGAAGCTCCAGAAGCACAAGCGTGAGGGCCACCGGAGCGCCAATCTCAGCACGGCTATGACGTCGGCGGCTATCCTAGAACGCAACTCGCAAGCGGGACCCCACAAGTGTGAGCGCATCAACCCAACCACTGGCAAGCCTTGCAACACTGTCTTCTCCCGACCATATGACTTGACCCGTCACGAGGACACGATCCACAACGCGCGCAAGCAAAAGGTGCGATGTGCGCTGTGCGTCGAGGAGAAGACGTTCTCGCGCAACGATGCATTGACAAGGCATATGCGCGTAGTGCACCCCGAGGTTGATTTTCCTGGCAAGCATCGCAGACGCGGCGGTAACCATGACTGAGCGATCGGGCTTTGACGAGGTGTGCGGAACCGACCGAAGACTGCGGAGACCGTGCCCCTGCAGCCCCAGGCCTGCACATTTCAGAACAGCCGGGACCGTTGGCCTGCATGCAGCCCACGCACCCCAACACGGCCAACGTGACGCACAGAATCTTCGATGAGCATCTCGACTGCCAAAGGCTGTGTAATGGCTGCAGACATCGCTTCACTCGACAATGCGCACAGACACGCCGGTCGGTCCAGAGCGACGGAGTCGAGTTATTTGCATCGCGCCTATGTTTATACTGTATAATACACAGGCTCTGGCTGGCCACGACTGAGACAGCGATGCTCCGATGAAAGCCGGCGCTGCAGGGCATTCAGTTGTCGCTGGACGGAACTGAAGCATCTGACGATGCAACTTTGAACATTCGACTGTACAGTATTCTATTTTGTCCTTTTTCGGGATTGGGATTGAAAGTTTTGGACATGCAATTTACAGCGGCCACTGAGCGGGGGCGCATGAGATGATGATACGATATGTAAAAGCCATGGCTTCTGTATACGACAACCAAAAAAGGGGCGAGTTTGTAGACAGCATCGTTTGCTCTATTGGATCTCTGGTTATGTGGAGTTATTAGACTTTGGATTTTCTTTCTTATCTGCTTGATCTGCTCTTTGCTGAGCACTTTTTAATATGTACAACACTTTTCGAGTCTACAAATTGGTTCCTTATTGCTGTGAATCCTCCTTAACACTCGTGCTATGTGCTTGGAGCTGTCGCGTCTTGGTCCGCGGTGTCAAGGCTCCGTTTATCATTATGCCATTGCCAGACAACCATCGATTCTACCAGGTGTATCCAACCGGCGACGCCGGCTTCAACACCGAACATGACCTCAGCCAACGAGTATGCAGTAAACCACATAGACTAAATTAGCACAAGTTAATCAACTCAGGCTGATATCCAGTAACACTCGATGCACTAGCATTCAGCTTCATCATTTCAGCTCCCTAGGACCTCTGCATGATCAAACATTTCCGCGGATACTCAACTTTCCCCTCCCCCCCCTTTTCAAAAGAAAAAAAGCAAAGCTTTCATCCAGACCAACACTACTGCAGCACCATGCACCCCCAACTTTACAATCCCAGCCTACCATGGTAACGGAACCACGCACATGGTGCAATGTGAGCTGAGGTCTGCGCTCCATGCGTCTTTGCAGGGAAGAAAGACAGAAAAAAACAAACAAAAGGGCGAGATGCGATACAGAGTGGGAATGAGAGCGATCTGGGCCCCGCCAGTGCCGGATGCTAATGCCGACTGGCTGGCTTGCGTGGGTGGGTTGGGAAAAAAAAAGGACCACGCATGCACTAGCGGGGTAATACTAGCAGGGCGAAGCACAGCTTCTTTCTCTCCCTCTCTTACTTTTTTTCCTTGCACCCTGTCCTTTCTCTGCATGTCTCACACACGTACCACATGCTCCTACCCCCCTTCCTGCAGTGCGACACCCTGGGATAATAGAGTTTTTCTTCCTCGTCGTTCTTCTCTCGGCGTTCTAGAAGGTCCATGCGATGTGAGCATGGATTACGGTAGTGTATTTTCGTCAGCCACATGGGAAGAGAGAAACGGGAGATTTTTATCATTCATTTTTAAATTTGCAAATCTTCGATTCGGATGATGTAGAAGGTCTGCGCATTATGGGGGGGGGAGGGTGTTTAGGGATAAATAGATTTTACTATGCAGAGCGATAGTGCAAGTGTTGTTGTCTACCCAATATCCAACAAGATATGGATTTTTTCCTCAGCGGACGAAAATGCTCAGGCCAAGACAAGAGAAAAAAAAGGTAAAGGAAGCTGGGTAGACTTGCAGGATACGCGTAACGAGATTCCTAGATAGATAGTTTCCTAACTGCCACCCTAACCCTACCCACTTTACCCTTCCCATCCTCCGTCTTTCGTAATCATTCGCTGCAAATATCAGCATCATAGACGTGCTGTGGACCGTTTCATAGTTGCCTTTTTTGTGCCCTGCTCCGCTGCGCTCCTGATAAATCGACGTGGATGAATGGGTACATGAAGCGAGGTCTCCACATTGCGCCGCACATAGACAGACGTTTACCTACCTAGGTGTATTCCCCCTCTGGCTTGGCTGTTGGGCGCACCGCGTATGCACATGTTTCGTCTGCTCGGGGAGTTGCGGCGCCGCTATGGCTCCGTATTTGCCTTCCTTGCTCATGAGCATGGGTAGGAGGCACGCGACTAGTTCACACGCATACGCACGCCTAGCACATTAGTATCGGCGCAGCGGGGGTATGTGTAGGCGAGTGGGTATGGCTGACGGGAGATTGATCGGGGATGCGGAGACACGAGAGAAAAATGTCTTGGATGCGCACGAGTTGCTGAGTTGAGAGGCGCTATGTGGGCTGCGTTGCGTCATGTAGGGCTGAAGGATGGGAAGGGTTCAACAACGGGTTTTTTTCTGTGGGTAGGCAGCTGGGGTTCGTTCATCGAGTAGGGAAGCGCAAACGCGGTGATATTGCGGGTCGTCGTATCATTAGAGTAATACGCCTAGTGTATTGTACAGACATACGTATGACCATCTATCAGAAACGTCATTTTAGGACAATTATGCGATGCCAGGCTACAATGAGTGACACCTAGCTGGGATCCGCATCACCCATCCATGAAGACTTTGCCACTGCGGAAGGACTCGGCATCGTCGTATTGCTTACCTTATTACAGCGTTCAATACACCAAGCCTTCCGTACGCGTCAGTTGGTTATCGAAAGATATCAGTATACACATATGCAGCATAGTGATTCGTCACCTACCCAATCTCGGCTGCATCCACGGCCTACCTTCCATACTTACGGTACCGACCTAAGCTTTTTTTCCAACACTAAGCCAAACTCGTCTTATCTCTTTCTCCCCCACCTTTCAAAACTAAGAGAAAATTCGAAACAGACGTTTTTAATCTCTCGTCAGATTATAATACACTGTACGGCCCTTCTGATATCCGAACTATGTGTAGTGTAATCGCTTCAACCCCGATTCCCCCAACCGTGCATTAGGCTACCCCCTCCTCTTACTCATCCTCCCCTTTCCGGAAAGGAAAACCTCGATTCGAGGTTGAGAGCACGATGCACGGGGCTTTTGTAAATGCGTGCGGGTTATTGAAGGGGGGGGGTTGCAGGTTACGTTGCGTTGGAAGTGCATTACCTCGGTGTAATACGTGCTTGGCGGTCGGGCTTTGATGGATGGAAGGATCCGGGGAGGGAATGAGCTGTGGGTGGAAACATCCGTGGAAATCATGACCCCATGTGAGGGGATGAGTCGTAATGCGGTTTAAGTGGGTGCGAAGGTGATTCATACTCACTCCGGGTTAGCACATACGACGGGGCATACCAGGGTCTCAACTAGGTGTATCAAGTATACTATTCTGCAGCCAGCTCGGAAGATGTCAGTTGAGATTTCTTAGCAGTTTACTGCTAGAAGAAGATAGGGAAAGCCCATCTCATCTCTTTTAGTGCATCACTTTCGTGCTCATTCTATTTATATAGGCAATATGCACGAAAGAGTTGAAGAGCATTAGTAAATATCTTTGAAAGCATGTAAATTCCCAGCAGAGGCGAATATGAACCGAAGAAGAAAACCAGGTAGCGGAGGGTAAAATAGCTATTGAATAGTGTACTGTAGATAGTACGTCTTTTGCATAGAAAATTAACAAACTCACCATTGATTACTTCAATCAAGACCCGTGGATGTTCCGTCGTATGTGATAGCCTGCAGTACGTTTGTATTGTACTACTATATCCATAGGCGACTGCGGGGAGCGGGACCTTCGGGTGGATCACTCGGGACATGTACCTCGGAAGCGGGAGTGTGTGCGTATTTAGCGTTGATGCTCTTTGTAAGATAATTGATGAAGAGTATCGATAGTGCTTTTCAATTTTTATGCCTTCATCTTGTAGGTATTTGGAAATAGCTAGGTCTGTAGTTCAAGTCTAGAGCACTGGACACATAAGAAGACCCTTGCTTCTCGCTTAGCCATCTCTTTGGCTACTTCTGATACTCTGGGGAGCTAGGAAGATGGCGCAATTTGGTATTCACACATCTTGAGATGCGAGGCAGAAATATTGGCGGTTATACATACGAAAAGGTAAATAGTTGTAAATTCATCTCACGCCACACTGATATTTGAACAAAAAACTTAGACGTTGTTTTGCGAATTAGAACTTTGCCAACTCACAATGCATTATTATGCACAACTTCCCTGTAGAAACGCTTATCCCAAGGTAGTACCATGACACCACTGGATACCCGTTTGGACACCCGCCTGTAAGTCCAATTGATGCTACAAGATCATCTATGCTCTTCCAAGAAGACTTGTTGGGCTTGATGCGTTTGACAGGACAACTCACTTGCAACGTTGGATGTCTGTTCTCAGCTTATTTTACCATTTTACACGGTAAAGCTCAGGGATTGTCTTTACGATTACGTTTCGCCAAACTTTGCCAATAAGCAATTAGTAATCACAGCCTGTAATCTCATCAAATCAGAACGACGCTTCTGTTTGCAATACAAAGACAGGTAGTGTGCATACGGTGTGCTTGTGCGTATTGACATCTTGCCTTAGCGTACCTTCCTGACATTCCAGTCACGGTAGCTATATTTTCACCCGGATCCTTTTACATATTTACTTTCACCATATATCTTCGCCATTAACTAAGCTGTTGTATCCGTCACTTTTTCAGGTGACAACCCCGCCCTCAGACGTTAAAAAGAATTTCCATAGCAGGTCAGGAACAACAGCACTTACACCAGAACATCCAAAAAGACCACCATGGTCACCAGCACCAAGCGCCCTGGCCTGGAAGTTGCTATTCATGTTGAGAGCAGACCGTTACAGGAGTACGATGACGGCGACGAGAATATTCCACCAAACACCGTTACAAAATATATCAAGGCTAAATCAGGGGCTGAATTTGCCGTGATAAACACCTTCAAGCCGCCCTTCTCTCCACTCCATGGCGTCATGATAAATCCTATTGTCAACGATAGTCCAGCCACTTCCCGGTTTTGCCGATAGGATGAGCTCTTTGGTCGCGTATCTAAAATGAATGCTGTCCATCGGAAGATTCATGGTGAATGGGTGGTGCAGAAGATTCATTTCTCAGAGTTGGACATTGGTATTTATTTCAAAAGCCATTTAATCGATATCTACTCAAAATCTTACAGTGGAAGAGGTCAATGGACTAGGTCCGAACCCCACAGATGTCAAACATGCTCTGAGTAGTAAAGGACATATTATACTCTTGCTTCACTTCGTAAAGGATATTAGAGAAATAAGGTCGAATGAGTACTGGGAAAGAAATTTCAAACTCACACCACTGGATGAGATTCCAAAGAAAGCGCTCAAAGGAAATGCGCTCTCACACCAAATAGCGTACGTATAGTAATCTGACAAAAGTTACGGGGAAAGTTAATCAGATGCAAGGCTTGAACTCCCCAGAGCGATCTCAGAGCCGATCCGGACAGAAGCTCAGAGTGTGTAGTCTCGCGGAGAAAGAGTCATTCGCAATACTTCGTTTCAAATACAGATCTCTTGGTCAGTACCATCCATTTCGATCGATACACGTACTGACATACACGCCTCAGGCGAGTCTAGAGGCTCTTGGAATTGTGCCCAGAGATGAGCCCATGACGGTTCCGCTAGAGGACAGACCAGAAGAAGAGCTTACTCCCGACGAACTGAGAGAGCTAGTTCGCCGCATGAGACAAGTATGTATGCTGGAATTTCTGCGAATGAACTTACTGAGCTAGTGATGGCGAGAAGCGCAAAGTAATCTCATCAAGAGAGAGAGAGAGACAAAATTCAAAGGCCCCATTAAGCATGAACAGACTGCCGACGATGAACAGGCCACTGCAACTGAATCACGCACTCACAAGCGTCTGCAAGCTGATCCACAAGTCATCACGATTGATTAATGCTGTTGTAATCATCTCGGCGTCCAATATGATTTCCCTGTTGCGCAAAGCTTTGAATACGAGGATCGATGTGCAAAAGATTCTAAATTGACAATTCTCTCACCAGCATGCTTTTGAATGCGGAATCTTTTAAGCTGATCAGCTGTGTGTTCAACCCAATGGATTGTAAAGTCAGCTGTAGGAGATATTAGTGCACACAACGACAAAGACACGCTTCCACAGGGTGTGTCTAAAAAAGATCTTGCTGATTTGGACTTGTGAGTTGGAAATAATGATGATGGCATTCCAGTGATTATAATTCAGATGTTCACAAACCAATGTGAACTTGTATCTTTTCAAGTCTCCTATGCTAGTACAGCAGGTTGCATTTTAATATTGTGAACACTTCTTACGGCTCATGTGAGCTTCAGTCTCAGACTAAATATGATGGTTCTTCCTTGCTGTCCTACCTGAAGACCGAGCCTCTCATCAAGAGCATATGCGATCCCCTGTCCGAAGGATCATTGATTTAAGTAAAGATAAGGAAATTGTGGTAATGCTATCTCAGACCTAGGATGAAATAATTTGTACTTTCCACGACCAAGCTGGATGGTGAAACAAGAGAACATTGAACCAAAATTATGTTTGAGAATTAGAGAAGATGACTATTCCGAAAATCTTTATTCCTGTTTGCTAAATACGTTGCACCCTAAATCCACCTCAAATTCTACCACCGCGGCGCTGTCGCAGTAGGCGAAGCATACGTCTCACTCCACGTAGCCGTATACTTTGAACTCCCCACAATAGTCTGACTCCTTGCATCCACATACGTGGCGCTCGTCACTACGCTATTAGTCCCAATCCACGTGCTCCACGGCGTCGCTGTCGAGACACCCTTGATGGGACCCACTGCAACGGCAGTCGTCTCCGGCCACGCACCAGACCACACCGTCGGGCCTGGGATAACGTAGTCAGTGGGACAAGGGGCAGCAGACCCCGTTGGTTTCTTTGTTTCAGTCGAGCAGTAAATCTAACCCATATATATCAGCATACACACACACACAAGGATGTCACCAACAACAACCCTTAGGGGGAAGAAGGAAGAAGGAGGACAGACATTGTGCACAACCCCCGGATCCTCATACGAATATGCCCCAGGAAACCCTACTCCCTCGGGCAACTCGACCTCGCCACCCTCCACAACCTCAATCTGCACACAATCTGGATAGAACTGCGCTCCTCTGCGCGGATTCTGTGCAAAACTCACATCGCCCTCGTGCAGACCGATCATCTCGGCCCGGATAAGGTACGGTCCTGCTTTCAGGCCCGCGGGTATGCGCACATTCATGCGCCCGTAGTTTGCGCGGATGTCGGCCGTGGTACTCCATTTGCCTGCTTGCGGGAAGGGATTGCTTTCGATCTTACCGGCGTGCCAGAGTTTGACAAAGGAGGTGTTTGTTGGTGGGTCTGGCGAGATGTAGATGAGTGAGGGCCCGTGGTGCGAGTATGCGATTACTTCGTCGCTGTTGTTGCGTAGCTCGTGGTGCCAGTCGAACGTCAGGTTGTCGCCTGGAGCTACTTTTATAGTGTCGTGGGCTTGGACGTCGCCCATAACGTTACAGCGCATGTCGATGGAGGAGAGGTCCTTGACGGGCGAGTTGTTGTAGCCGCCTTTCCCGTTTTGCCCGTTGTATCCGGGTATTCGGATGCCGGTGAAGGTGCCTTGGTCAACGCCGTTGACGAAGACGCCCTAGCAGCGGATTAGTAGAGGAGTGGTTCAGAGAAGCGGCTCAGTGTACCCAGATGAATGTGTGGGCGCATGCTTGGCTTGCGAGGAGCGAGAGGATGAGGGCGTAGTTAGGAGCCATTATGACAGTGAGGACAAGAAAACCTGAAGAGATGGATGGGCGTAATCTGAGATGTTACAGGAGACCCTCATGGTGACATTTATAGCGAAGTGGTTCACTGTGTGTGTATACACCAGTGGGCAGATGATGAGGCTAGCGTATTGCGATGCAATATACCCGTTCTGTCCCATATTATTAATTTAATACGGGTGCCTAATCCATCCACACAGTCATGTAGATAGAACATATCGGGCGGGGAGATCGGATTCATGTCCGATTCTGCACGACATACGTGCTGAATACAGGTATTTGTTTTGGTGGCATGCATATGGAGAGTCGGAGACGCCCCGCGGACACTGTGTTGCAATGGTAGCACCCCGTATAGTGGGCTGCAGTCTTTGCAGTTTCTTGGGAGCTGTTTTAGGGCACGCTGATTTTCTGATCACATCAATTGATGAGGTAGAGGGTTAAATGAAGACATGTGAAATCATACGCCACAGCCTGTCACAAAGACATGTACAGATATTCGGGTTGTATAGACATAGGTAACGGTATTGCAGGCAGGTGATGTGTGTTGAATGAAACAACTCAAGTCCTCAGAGATTCTGTAGGCGCTTCACGCCATGAATCTAGCATTGGATGTACTCATCAGGGAACCTGCTCGAGTATCGGTATTGTGAGTAAAACACCTGCCTTCACCAGCCGTCAGTACGAACACATGACAATCGGATGGGCAATTGGCCTTTGGTAGCAACCCCATCAGCCAATGCGACAATCGAAATAAACATATATTCACAAGACGAGGATGGTGAAGTTCGATCCACGTGCCGCAGAGCCCCAGATCGGTGTTTGCACATGTGCGATCTCTAGCCCCCGCGACTTCCCCCGCCGGTGATTGGCCCATGCCGCAACCACCGGCGCTATTTTATCAGGTCCGGCGCTGCTGACTGCACTTGACCTCCCATTTCCCTCACCCCCAAGGCTCCTGTATAACCGCGCACACACACATCGCACACCTTGCAAGCAGCTTCTCGAGGTGTAAAAGGCCATTCGTTTTTTGCATCTTCTGCCGCAACTCTTCTGTTTGATATTTGCTTGGCTTTTTGTCCGATCGTAGCGAGGTAAAATGGCGCGTGGCAACCAGCGTGACAAGGCTAGGGAGAAGAACCTCAAGGAGCAGGCTTCAAAGGTGGGGTTTTCTTTGCCTGATACTGCTGGAAAGACCGGCTAGTGTGGTATTCGCAATGTGACTGACCTTTTGACAGAAATCCAAGAATACGGTATGTTTATTGTGAAGATATGCTGGATACACCGCCAAAGAGAGCAGGCGGCTAACGGACAGCCTCTTAGCAATCTGGTACCGAGTTTGCCCGCACCAAGGAGAATGTTGCGGCTATCATGCGCGCTAAGCAGGCTGCTGGTAAGTTGTTCCTTTGCCTGCCACGTATCTGCTGCGTTGTTGCAACGTGCAGATGCAGACGTGGCGTTGTAGATAGAATACCTGTGCTGACATCCGGAATAGCTGAGGCGAAGAAGGCTGAAGCTGCCAAGAAATGAGCAGCTGCAAGCGCGCTGCGGAAACGGTTACAGCAGCAACTTAGACAGCCCCGATTATTGAGCAGCGGAGTTTTACGGAAAAGGCATTGGCGGTTTATGAGTTACAGGTGTTGGTGAATTGCTTGGATACCAAATACACTGATTTTTGATTTTACAATGCTGTGTGATGTTACTTATTTGGCTGGTTCAACTGTGAAGCCCAACCAACTCTCTGCCTAACATTTCCTTGTAAATTCATCACTTGCAAACATCACAATAGTCAAGTCCAAGACAAAAATAGTGGCGACCACTTGGGTCCAGCTCTAATACTTTAAGAAGTTTTAACAAACGCGAACAAGATCCCTGCCAAAAGTTACCCAGCAGGCACCACAGCGCGGCAATACATCGCAGCATGTGGGGAATACGGTATAATGCAAACGCCCTAGCAAATGATAAAATAATATAAAGAGGCCAGCGAGAAAAAACAAGGAAGCCCCTAAGTGGAAAGCCTCCCTCGCCGACCTCGTCATAAGAATCTCGCCTCCTTCCCCCTCTATCTTTCTCCTGACTAGAAACACCCAACCCCGACCACCCATTACACCTTATTGCAATTTCGTTTAGACCATTTAAGCAATCATGCCGGCAAAGCCGCCAAAGTTGTTGATAGCCGCACTAGGGGGGAAGGATGCCACGCCGCACAGGCACTGGCATGAGCAAGCAATGCCCTGGCCGTCCATGCCAGATCCAGCAATGACCTGGGCAGGAGGAGGAGGAGAAGCGGCAGGGGGAGCGGATGGAGGTGCTGTCCCGGTAGCAGCAGCTTCGCCGCCTCCGGCAACGACGCTGACGGTGGAGGGGGCTGCAGCCGCACCAGGGTCGACAATTTGAAGACCGCCTTCTACAAGGTCGGTACCGTTGGTCTTGATAGCCAGGGTCTTGAAGTCGGCCATCGTCTTGTCGCCAGTCTCAGGGGGGTTGATGGAGAAGACCATGCCCTTGCCGCAGTGGAATCCGTTCTTTTGCTTGCAATAGAACCCTTTTCAGTGTTAGTTGAATGTTCGCATTGTCGCAAAAAAAAAGTTGTTGGGTAGGCTTACAGAGCGGCTCGGTGGTCGCGACGGTCATGTTCCAGGTGACGCCGGGCATACCGTCTGCGTTGGGCATGAAGCCAGAGTCCATTCCTCCATCCATCTTGTTGCAGGGCTTAGCAAAAGTCGACTGGGTGACGGTGTGGTTCTTCTGCAAGAACTCGAAGACGACCATGTCGCCGACGTTGGCCTGGATGTTGTCGGGAGTGTATTCTAGCTTGGGGGCCATGCCCGTCGCAACAGGCTTCATTCCACCAACAGTAACCTGTCATGTGTTAGCATAAGGGGGCTCGAGCTTTTAGTAGTGCGACTGTGCTTACAGTGTGAATTTTCTGGTCAGCTGCGGGAGCAGGAGCAACCTCCATAACCATCATTTCAGCAGAGGCCAAGGCGGCGGCGGCCAAAGGTAGTGCTGTGAAGTACTTCATTATGACTAATAGATTGAGTATCGTGTGTTAAAAGTTTTTTTTTCGTGAAAAGTGAACGTAAGCCTGCACTGCAAGCACTAGAATGTACGATGAAAGGGTGAAGGATCGAAAGGGCACTACGAGGGCCGGCTCGGACAGTAAGAAGCAGATGAGGAAAAGAGAAAGAGAAAGTGGAGCACCAGTATTATGAGGCAGATGTCTTGATGTAAGGAGAAAAGCTGTCTGCCTGGGGAAGTGTATTCCTTAAATCCACGCATGAAATTGTTGATTCTGAAGGGTTTGTGCCCCGGTCGCATGCCGGGCGAAACACCAACCCCCTGGACCGGGCAATCCAGTACGAGTAAGGAAACTTGGGTGGGAAAATGGCGAGATTTTGGAGATCCGCCCGCGGTTGCGCGTGGGTGTGGGGTTGGGGTGATGCTCGAACCGTTGGAAGAGGGTTGAAGTGCGTCGCGGTGGTGTCGCAGATCTGTCTCGCCTCTCGCTGCACAGCACGCTTTGGGTAATCTAAGAGCCACGAGGCCTATAGCACTAGCGACACAGCTACTCATGATGCCTGGACAATGGGGCTGGAAAAGACCAAGCCGCATAAGAGGCGGTGCCAACTAATAGCTCGCGGCCTACTTTTCCGTCCTCTTTGAGGCACAAACTGTTGGTGGTAAGTCGCGCCCAGGGTCATGGCGATGAACATCCTTACGCGCATTGGCTGCATATGCTGGCAACTATCCGGGCCTAAGTCAATCGTCGTGCAGCATGGCGGACAGCCACGCAATTCATATGCGCTACTATTATTCCTGTGCGGAAGAGTCGCGAGCCGCCTGCTGCTGCTGGCCCGCATGCAAACCGGTGTAGTAGCCAGCATAGTACCACGACATCATGATGTTTTTAAGGTTTTCGTCTTTGACTGCAGAACATCATCAGCACACGGCCCGCTGCTCGCTTCCGAATGCCCACCTTCCCCGGAAACAACGGCTGTCAAAATCAGTAATACGTACCTGTTCCGAGCATCGCTTGGGGCACGGCCTCTGTAAGAGTCTCGGCAGCAGCTGGGGCCGATGCAGCCTCAACACTCGGCGATTGGGTGTCGTGGGTGTTTTGCTGTTCGGATTGTCCTGGTTCCTGGTTTTCGTTAGCCAGGGCTCAGAACTCAAGTGTTTCACTTGCGACATGTACACGTACCTGTTGCACAAGGCCAATTTTTTCCGACTGGCCAACGCAGCTTATCTCTGCATTCGACATATCTGCATCGTTGTTGGGCGCGACGCCATTGGCATCTGCTGCTCCTGAAGTTGGCTCTGTTTCCTCTATCAGGTCGCCATAGCCCCTGCTGGCGTTAGTCTAATTTCATCTCGACAGGCTTCAGGCAAGCGCCCAACAAGCACTTACTCTCGCAGTTCTTTGAGTTCCTCTTCCGTGAGCACGTCTTCTAGTCGCTTGCCAGACTGGTGGATGCTATGATACTTCTGCGTCCGCAGGTTAATCAACCTTTTTTTTGCACAGCTTGGCAGCAGAGGCGGATTCTTACCTTGTACTCGTTGAGCGCGTCATCCCACGAACTGATGAGGAGAGAGTCGTCCCAAGCATGCTTATCACTCATATCAACGACTGGCGCCATGCTGATGAAGAGCCAGGGCGTGATTTGTGAATCCAGTCAGGCTGCTTTGTATGTAGAGGCGATGCAAGTTAACTTTAGAGACACGCAATGAGTAGCGGTAAGATCAACAGTTCAGAGTCTATGCGAGTGAGCACTTGTACAAGAATGGTCAAGGGATACGCGAGCGGATGGGCGTGTGGTGAGCTGGTCGACTGGCTTGGCGAGGGTCTAACTTAGCGCAACTGCCCTCAAAAAAAGTTACCGCGCCCGAGCTCTCCTCCGAACTTTTGCGCGTAACCACCGTCGCGACTTCATATTGTCCGACACAATTGCAGCTGATCACGATGGCTCCCGACGATACAAAGGGAAAGAAGCGCAAGAGTAAGTAATGGCGACATGGGGAAAATAATTTTATAGTTTTGTCGGCTAATATCGCATAGGCGCACCTGAGACAATTCCCAAGGCAAAGAAGGCCAAGAAAGCAGACGATGTAGCCGCCAGCGAGCCCAAGCCAACGCGCAAGTCTGCGCGCAAGCAAGCTTCCGACTTCATGGAACTTGACGAAGAGAAGGAAGTTGCGCCTGTTGTCGCTACTGAACCCGTCAAGCCCAAGAAGGGCAAGCAGAGCAAAGCCGCCGCTCCCGCGAAGGTACCTGAGCCTACCGCAGAAGTGCCAGAGGTTGCAGAGGTCCAGGAGAAACCCAAGAAGCAGGCAAAGAAGACAAAGGCTGCTGCTGTAGAGGAGACCACTGTCACAGAGACTCCCAAGGAGACGACGAAGAAGACGAAGAAGACAAAGGTGGCCGCTGATGTCCCAGCTGTCGTAGAAGAGACTACTGTAGTCACCAAGTCCAAGAAGACAAAGGGTAGCAAGAAGCAAGAAGCGCCTGAGCCAGAGCCAGAGGTGGACGCCGCAGAGCTCGCCGCTCCCTCAGATGACGAAGACGTTGCAGAAGACGACCAGACCGCAGCCCTGCTTGCTGGCTTCAGCGACGACGACTCAGACGATGCTGATGAGGATGTCGACTTCAACGAGGACGAGAAGATTCCAAGACTCAGTGCAAAGCAGAGGAAAGCCATTAAGCAGGCCGAGGACGCCCCCAAGTCCAACCAGCCTGGTGTCATTTATGTTGGGTACGAACACTTTACCCCACTCCTTAGTATTTTGCTAACTTTCAAACTAGTCGTGTGCCACGCGGTTTCTATGAACCCCAAATGAAGAAATACTTTTCTCAGTTTGGAAAGGTTAACCAGCTACGCTTGTCGCGCAACAAAAAGACGGGCGCCTCCAAACACTATGCTTTCGTCGAGTTCCAATCACAAGAAGTAGCTGACATTGTCGCGCGGACCATGAACAACTACCTCCTCTTCGGCCACGTCCTCAAGGTTCACCTTATTCCCACCGACCAAGTACACCCTGATCTTTTCAAGGGTGCCAAACAGCGGTTCAAGGTCGATCCCCGCAACAAGAAGGCTGGTCTTGAGATGGAGCGTGGTGCTGAGCGCTCGCAGTGGGAGAAGCGTGTTGCAAACGAGAACAAGCGGAGAGATACCAAGGCCAAGGAGCTAAAGGATATTTTTGACTACGAGTTTGAGGCACCGACACTCAAGACTGTCGACAGCGTCCCTGCGCACACTACCATAAAGAAGCTCAAGCCTTCAGAGTCCAAGAAGCTTATCACCGATGCGCCTGCTGAGCAGACTACTGTTGCCGAGCCAAAGGCCAAGAAGGGCAAGAAGGGAGCAAAGGCTGAGGCTGAGACACCAGCAACAGAGGTCGTTGAGCCTGTCAAGGTAGCCTCTCCTGCACAAGCGAAGAAGGGCAAGAATGCCACAAATGCAGCAGTTTCGGAGAAACCCAATGACGTGGCTGAGGAGCCTGCAGTAGTCGAATCTGCCGCTGACAAGAAGACCAAAAAGGACAAGAAGCGAAAGTCCGACGTTGCACTTGAGACTAACACCACCGTCGAGGAGGCTGTTGTTAAAGCACCAGCCAAGAACAAGAGGGCGAAGAAGGAAAAGGAGAGCAAGCCCGAGACCATTGTCGAGGAAGCCGAGGAGAAGAAGGCTGCTGCAAAGCCCAAGAAAGCTAGCAAGAAGGCAAAGGCTTGAGTGTTCATGCCCATCAACATGATACATTAGTCTTGGTCTTGAGTTTTCTTGGTCGTTCATCTCGCATGTAGTATGTTTAGGTAACTTTGCCTGGCATGGAAATGATCTGGTTTTGTGTCTTAGCGTTTGACGATTCTTCTTCTATTCTTCGACACATGAAGTGAATATTATGAAAAGCAAAGGACTAGCATGGGCAGGATAAGATAGGACATGGCAATTAAAAATGTTTCCATCACTACCAACTTGTCCATAAACCCTACTCTCATGTCAGCATCACCCTGTAGTCATGCTACGCCCCGAAGGATGCATATAGCGTGACTGTCCCGCCCTCACAGCCCCCATACCGTTAGTAGCCCAGCAATTGAAACGCGACATATTTAACCAAAGCCACAGTTCTTTATAAAAAACACTCCCCCCTCGCGTTCTACCCATCTCCATTCTTCCCCCGCTCTCAAATCCAATTGCAAGCTTCTCAAATGGCAAACGCAGACCCCCGCCTCTCAGCATCCCAAATGCACGACTCCGTCACCTCGCTACCCCCCTCAACCAGACACATCATTACGCACGATGCACAGGGAAAGAGCGTCGTTCATTCCGCCCCAGCGTTGCAGTATTATGGACTACCCGGTATGGGTGGCGCAGCTCGCTCGTGTACGTCCCCTCCTCCCATCCTCCTCCCCATGCCAAAATAATAATAATCATCACAATAATAATAATAATAATAATAATAATACAAACATCAATTAAAAAAATCATGCAAATCCTAATGCGAAAGAGAAAAAAGACGCAACTTCTTCTACCCCAGCATCCCTTGAAAATGAGGCAGACATAAGTGCGTACCTCGCCCCAACTGGCACCCAAAGCTACACAACCCGCGACATTGTATCCCCAGGCTCGGGATCGCATCTTATAGTTTGCGAGTTGGGTCCTGGCCAAGCGAGCCAGATGCACCAGACGGTATCGGTAGATTACGTAGTGTGTACGCATGGGCGGTTGAATATGCAGACGGGAAGTGGGGAGGTGATTGAATTGGGGCCTGGTGTGAGTTCTTTTCTTCTTCTTCTTCTTCTTCTTCTTCTTCTTCTTCTTCCATATAACTTGAGTTGATACTGATGAGGCACAAAAACATAGGACCACGTTGTTCAAAGAGGAACAATGCACAAATGGATTAATGGGTCAGATACGGAGCCTACGCGCTTCATTGCTGTTACGGTGCCGTGCGAGCCGTTTAAGGTTCCGGGGACGGACAAGATGCTGCAAGAGGTACATGTTGAGGGGAGTGAAGCCAAGGATTGGGATGTGAGTCAGTTGTAATGTACTGAATCTTGGAATGATACACCATGCAAAGAGAGCAACACGATGCAGAATAAAACGACAATGAAAGAAGTCGATGGTTTCATTTCTCGCTAACAACACAATACAAAACGGCTCATCTAACTCAACTGGTATCCAGGTTAGTGACTCCTTCAAGAACCATCCCTGTCTTAACCAGTGCCTGATACGGCGAGCTTCATCAGATGGTCCATGAATGTCTGTAAACTGACGTCGTCGGTGAAGATGGTCTGTGCAGTCTGCGCGACGCCGCCGTAAGTTCCAGTAGTGTGTGTTGTCGAAGGATTGAGCTTGCTGAGCAGGAAACGGGCTTGCGACCCACCAGCATCACACACGATGAAACGGGGAAGTGGGAAACGATCCTGGATGAGCTCCTTGGCGTCCTCCTTGGGTGCTTCCAAGAGCGCTCGGAAGTTCTCGTAACCCTCTTGCTCGTGGTAACCAGCTTTCCTCCATTCCGCCATAGTCTCGCCGTGGAAAATGAGAATGTGGAAGAAGGTATCGAGCAACAGAATCGTCTCATTTTGAATCGAGCTGGAGTCGAGGAGTACGGGCTGGCCGCCTTCATGGTCAAAGCCGTAGCTGTCCAAAGTCGGTTGAATCATGATAAGTGAGTTGCTGACATCCTCGCGGTTCAAGACGTGACGATAAAAGGCAGTTTCGTCGGGAGAGTTGTTGAATACTTGCAAGAATTGCGAACGACGGAGATGGAACATGAATTGCGGGTACAGCGTGAAGTTCTTTTCGAGCCTGGTACGAAGTTAGCAGTGTAATTTGACGGATTTTGGCCTGCCAAGATTGGCGCACTCAACGTAGTGCTACCACACGGGGGCCAGAAGTTGTATGCATACCTGAATGACGAAGGATCATCCTTCCTGTACTCGGCAAAGCGAGCGCATAGTCGGATCAACATGCGGTCAACCCATCTCAAGACATCTGGGCCGTCGTCGACCTCAGCCTTGAAGACTGCTATCCTCGACATGAGTACTGCAGCAGCTTCTTGATCAAAGGATTGGGCAATGGCGGGGTCGCCAGAAGGACCACTCAGCGGTCGGGCCACGGTAGTGACTATGGAATGTTAGCGCTTATAGTTGGCGTCACAACGATACATAACATACCTCTCAAGTGGTACTGGCCAGCCGAGTGCTGGTAGTGTGTGAGGAATTGGATAAGAGCTTGTTGCTGGCCTGATTGCATCTGGCTCGGTCCTCCCTGACTGGCAATCTCAAAGTAGATACCGTATGAAGACTCTGGATCGATACCGCACATCTTCCATGCGCACGTGCTTCCAATACCAATCTCGGTCTCGCCAACAGCTACGGACTTTTTGTTGAGTGAAACCGCATGACCAATCAGACCACTGAGTTTCAACTCCTTTGTGGTGAGGACCTCGAGGTTGGCATTAAAAGCCATGAGAAGATTGTCATCGGCGTCTTTGTTAAAGACACGTGCAAAGGATTGCTTGTACATGGACGAAGTAAAGCTGTCCGTCAAAATCATATGTCCACCTGTCGAGTTGGCAAGACCGCGCATTTCGAGCAGACCAACCTGATCAAGACATCCGGCAAAGATATCGACAATATGGCCGTTGTGGGAAACGCGCTTGGCAAGGTTCTCGTAGAACTTGAGAGCCTTCTTGTAGTACTTGATGTTGTCGCGGTCGATATCGTGGTGCGATCGAATGGGCTCACGGAGCTCGGGTCCAACAACCATACCAGGACCCTCGGTCGCCGGGCCACCACTGAACAGCATGATACGGGAACCCTTGTTCACGAATTGTGTCTCCAAAAGTCCAGCAGCAACACTGAGCGCAACGCCGGTACACCTCAGAGGGCGCTTGTCGTTTGCGACGGGCCAGGGGTCTCGCTGAAGGGCCTCGAGGGCGTTGGTCAATTGGAATTCGCACTGCGACACGGGGAGGATGAAGCGCGCGCCGGCTCCTGCTGGGGGTGCCATGGGAGGTCGGCCAGGTTGTTGTGGAACGCCCGGTCGCGCAGCCATTTGGCTGAGACCAAGCATCTCGTGGACCTGCTTGGAGGAGTAGTCCTTGCTACCGCGGAAGACATAGGACTTGGCGCACTCGGTGTAACCCAGCTCATGAACTTGAGCCTGGAATTGTTAGCCAGTCATGAGAATACCAGAATTGTTCCACTCACCATAGTGCCATATGTAATGAGACCGACGGAAGCGTATGCGGGGAGCAGACTCAGGCTCATGATGATTGAGTCCTTGAGAGCCTTCAGACTGTCCTCCTCCTGGCATGTGTCGACGACGAAGAGGAAAATGGGAGGAGTGTCTACGGGCTGGGGGAGACGGTACTCGATGGTGGTGCTGGCTGCGTGCAGCTCTGGGGGTATTTGCTGCTCCGAGATGTCCTTGTAGTGGGGTGGGAGAGAGTTGCGGTTGAGGCAAAAGGGACATATCCAGACACGGGCGCGCATGTCAATCTGGCTGTTGGAGCATCAGTCACAGTACATGTTGCATGTGTAGCATTGGGTCTCATCATACCAGAAGGGGTTGAGGACGGCCTTGCATGGTGCTCTGCAGACCACGGGCTGATATTGGAGCAGTGGGGTGTCCGTCTTCTCCTTCAGAGGGGTGTACAGGGCGCCAATGGGGACGACAAGGCGAGATGCTTCCTGTATGGATGGTCAGCATTCCCTTGACACGATTGCGACGGGCGAAGGCAGCGGTCAGCATACCATGCGCGAGCTTGGAAACGTGTTCCAACTGAGGCGGAGGCCATCTCTGTCCTCGATCTCGCTCCACTGGTCCTTGAGCGCCTCAAAGTCGGCCATGGTGGATGGTTGCGAGGCGTCTCGGTATGTTGAGAGGATTGGCAGGAGGGGGTGTGATCGTAGGGCAAGGTTGGTGCTGGAGGGCAGAACCGAGGACGCCCACGATAGGTGACGGACTTGGTGGGGCTACGAGAAACGTGCGCCGGGCGAGAGTAGAGCGGTGTAGGGGAGATGGGATGAGGGCAGAGGAGAGAAATGTGTTGCTGCCTCTTGACCAAACACAGGATATGGCAACGTCTCAACTCCAGAGCTCCCTTGGGCAAGCTACATATGCGTGGGTACTCGAGTTGGCGATGCGGCCAGATGTTCTTGCCCTAGCGCGCCTGTTTGGGCCTAGCACGCGATGACGGCGTTCAAAACCTCTGATTTTCTCGGGCTGGGCTCGCTTCTTCTTTCTCTTCACCACCGCCAGCTTCACAATACTACGTAACGGCAGGCTCCTAGTTCTCCAATGAATGAGCCTGTTTTCGCGCTGCGCGCAGAAGAGATATAGGCCCATGGCTGGGCGCCCGATCTGGAAAACTCGTTCCGAGTATACTGAGAGGTTGGGAATCAGCAGAGGTCACATTTCAATCGTCTTTTCTCTTGTTTATGTACGCGTCTGGGTGCATATACGCCGTCATTGTTTTTGCAGCGCGCAAGCTCGGTGTCACGTGCGTTGTTCTGCCTGACATGACGTCCTCCATGTCGGATGCAATGTCCCAGCTATTTTTGAATCACTTCACTCCACCCTTGCTCCACCCCGTCAACACGCATTGCTGCCTTTCACCTTGCGTTGCAGAGTCCAGCATCCTCTTCCCTTGTCACATCCTATTCCTTGCTGCCACTCACGGTTCCGCATGCTGCAACTACACTTACCAGCAGCTTTTGTTGTCTATCATCACACACTTGCCGTCGTGACATGGAGCTCTCCACACGTGCCTACACGGTCGTGTCAATTGAAGCTGACGAAGCACCCCGCAAAGACTGCCTCGTATTGGGAATGGGTTTGTTGTCGATCCTGTATCCACTGCCATCTACATACGGAATGCCATTGGGTTCCGCGGATTACTAACTGTGGATGCCCTGGGTAGTTGTACTCGGTGTAGCATTCCACTCTTTCGCATGACGCTGGCGTCAGCTCTTTGCGGCCTGTTCAGTCTGGCTTGCCTTGATATGGAGTGAAATGAGCCAGTCCTGTGGCCGATGGTCCTTTCGCCGGGAAGGTGTCACCAATGGCTTGTTTGCTGTTAAGCTTTCTTTACCTCTCACCTCCCACATGTGCCCAATGCTTCAGTCACTCTGCCCAGCCCCTCGTCCAGCATGCCTTCTTTCTATCCAGTCACTGCTACTGCCATCGCCCTGGCTTTCATTCTCGTCTACACAATCTGCTCACTGTCTACGCACGACCCTACATCCATCTTCTTCGATGCGTCCAATGCCTACACTCCGCGATACTCTGCCCTGAGATACCAGCAGGCCACGGCGTACATCTCCATTTTCAACTCTACATCAAGCGTCGGTTTGTTAGGAAGCAAGGACTCCAACAAGAAACTATGTATTGGCATACCCTCGGTTGCGCGTCATGGCCCACAATACCTACCTGGTGCCATTGGGTCTCTGTTGGATGGCTTGACAGTGGATGAAAGGAACGAGTTTTACCTCGTGGTGTTTATACCGCATTCAGATCCTAAAGCCCACCCAGCTTATCGAGAAACGTGGCTATCGAGGCTGGCCGACCGTGTACTTGCATACGAAGGCCTTGATGCAAAAGAAATGGCTCACGTTCGCAGAATGGAGGCTCAAGGAGGTGCTTTCAAGGAGAAGGGACTGTACGATTACTCCTATCTGGTATCGAAATGTGCCGAGCTTAACACGCCGTATATCGCTATTCTCGAAGACGACGTTCTCGCCATGGACGGATGGTACCACCGCACTATCAATGCGTTGTTGGCTGCTGAGGACCAGTCAATACAGCGACACGGGAACAAGTTCTTGTATCTTCGCCTATTCTACACGGAGGCTTTTCTGGGCTGGAACTCGGAAGAATGGAAGACGTATCTCTTCTACTCGCTCTGCTTCGCTGCCATGCCGGCGGCAGTTGTTTCTTTCTTGCGCACTACGAAACTTTCACCAAAGCTTCTGCTGCCACTCAACACACACCTACGGTCATCAGAGGTGCGCAGTGGATACAGCTTTCGTCGCCTAGTGGCCACATTCTACGCCCTCATGGCGGTATTCATACTGCTCTTCTTCGCACTGGGGCGCATGACTGTTCTACCTCTTCCTGCTGGAGTTCATGAAATGCCCCAATTCGGCTGCTGCAGTCAAGCTTTTGTCTTTCCCAGACAGAAGGCTCTTGAGCTAGTCTCGTATTTTGCGCAAGTGAAAACTGGCTATGTGGATGTTTTGACAGAGCGCTATGCCGATGCCAGAGGTGAGCTGCGGTATGCTATCACGCCGAGCCTTTTCCAACATGTTGGCAAAACAAGCAGTAAGATGGATTCTCATGGGCCAATCATCAAGGGAAAGACATGGAGCTTTGCTTTTGAGGAGTACGATCCCGGGAAGCTGAGGCAAGAACACGAGACCGTGGGAATGTCGAAAGATGGGTTGGATGAAGTACGATAAATGGTGGCATAGGAAACAGCGACATCATTACACTCGGGGATTACTCTCACACATTTTGGTTATTATGGTACATACGACCAAAGTTTCTTGAGAGCATCGCTTCCCGTTCGCTCAGCGGTAATTAAGCAGGAAAACGGCGGATTAGTAGTTAGGTGGGTGACCACTAGCGAATCCCCGCTGTCGTATGTTTTTATTTTTGCAAATTTTTGCAGCTTTAGTTGCATTTTGCAATCGGTCCGAAAGGAGGTTTTTGTGCAAGAAGAAGCGCGATTTAGTTGGCTCTAGAAAGCTGTGCGCTGATTGGCATGCCAAGATTTCTGGAATATCCGTTTTCGGATAGCGTCTGGTCATGTGACGAACACCAGAATCTCCGCCCAACCAGCCAGACCAGCCCAAGTAGCTAGAGATAAGAGCGAAAAGTCTGTTTTACGTAGGAGCCTCCGGAGGCCAAGAGTGCACGCCGCAGGTGCGCCTTATATCGTAAAGTAAGTACATAAAACCAGTAGTTGACAGCCTATCCAGCGGTGCTGAAATTGAAGCTCAAGCTGCACCCCTCTTTAACACTGTCAGCCGGGCTGTCAAAACTACTGATTATTAGATGATGCTTGAAGCCAAATAACCCAAGTAATCTCCTTCGATAGCTGTATGCATAGAATTATACGGCGGCTACCATGCGGGTCTACGCGGGGCTGTAAATCGGTGGATCCCATTCACATGCAGCCGCTAGTTTAGCGAGAGACCCTTCTTTCTCAGTCTACCCGCTCTGTGCAAGCGCCTCCAACTACAAGTCCATTTTTTCTTCCACCGTACCCAAAATTTTATACAAAACCACTACAATGCCTATCTCCAAGAAAGACCGAGTATGCCAATCCCCTGTCATCAGCCAAACGAAAACATTCACTAACACCCACCTGCACAGATCCAACGCGAACACCGCAAAGCCGAAAAAGCAGGCACCCGCGCCCCCGTCAAGGCCAACGGCCTCCCCGTCAAGCCTCCCAAGCCAACCTCCATTGTAGGCATTCCCATGCTTCATCCTCCTCTTTGAACCTATCCGCTCTTTCAAACATTCCCATACTTTACACAAGCAATTCTTTTGCTGCATAGCCAGCTAACGGCACGCCCGCGCCTGTGCGGGGAACACTACAGTGCCAGAATTGCCGTCGCGAAATTGTAAATACGAACAAGGCGCAGCTGGAGGCGCATGCGGCGAGTCATGATTCAGTAGCTTGGCCTAAGGAGAAGTGTTGGCCTAACGATTTTTCATGAGGGAACGGGGTTGGTAAGATAGAATGAGGTTCTGGATATGTGGGGGTGAGCAGGATGCACAGTGGATATACAGAGTGAAGCGAGGGACTCGAAGAAGCCAAGTTGGGACACGAGATGGAAGAACCGGTACCAAGTGAGGAGTGTCTGAAAGTCATGCTTGTTTGGGCATGCTGACGAGCGAGACGACGGTGCTTTGTGATATCAGATATATTTGGAACGAGATAATCTACTACATACCATGTGGAGAAGCGAGACTTTCTCGTCACAATTTCACAACACACCTATATCTTCAAAAGGATTCAGTTTGAGAAACTGAAAAACAGTAAATAGGTCAGTTTTGATTCTTGCCATGGCAACGTACATTAGATCTGTCCTGGTGAAAAGACCCTGCTACGATCCGCCGCACACGTCATTTGCGCCCTTTTGGATAAGACAGTACGACCAATGGCCTCCTAGTTCTTACTCCCCACCAGACGTCCCCGCTCATATTAGCGACATACCTCTGCTAGTACAAGTCCTGCTTGTCTCAAGCCTCGCAGTCTTGACTAGCCTTGTAGAACATATCCATCGATTTTCGCAACCAAGCAGTATACCCTGGGGTTGTTGGACTGAGAAAACCCCAAACGCCTTGTAATTCTCGCCTCTGAGCTGATAGCTACAGATAAGGCTTTTTGCGCAGTTTAGAGTAACTTTGCTTTCTGGTCCGAGTGTCTCGGCAGAGCTGCCAGCACCTCAGCTGGAGGTCCAAACCTTTTTGACCGTTTCTGTTGGTTTGATACGTGTGCATGAAGTCTTCCACCCAGATTTTATGAGCATCCAACCGTGGATCGAGGCGTTGTATAATGGCTTCATCTAGTTCTATTGCTTCTTCTGGTGTGTCTGAAGCCGCGTATGTCTGGGTGATGGCTCTGAAGAGTGTACGCTGTTCAAAGTGCAGGGGCAGCGATGTGGATAACATGGTGAGTGCGGCTTCTTTGGCAAACACGAGTTCGTTGTGCTTGAGCCCTGCTTGACTATAGCGAGTGTGAAGGGCTAAAGCCCACTCGCAGGAGATCATGGATGGCATTGACTGCCTGACGATAGGCCAGAGGGCCTCGCGTAGGGCGACGCGGTCAATTACATTGCAAGGTGGCATGTAGACAATGTATCTATGCGCTTCCTTCAGGTAGTGTTCATTGTTGGTACAGTACCTGAGACGGACAATGCTTTGTGTCTTGAAAACCGCTCTGAGAACCAGGCGTCGGCGGTTGTTGAATGCGTGGTAGATTGCGGAGTGGGTGAGGATCAAGCGTTTTAGGGATATCAGATCTCGGCACGTGATTAGCAGTTCGTAGAGTATGTCGTCGTGGAGTGTGTGTATATTAAGAGCACACATGGTTGATGATGGCTAAGCAAAAATTTGGTGGTGAGCCAATTTCAGATAACAAGGGGTAAAGAATATATATTTGACCTAGGTACTCACAAAGAGTGGTACGAAGGTTGCCTGACCCAGCTTTGATACGCCATGATAATTTTCCGTAAAACCACTGACGTAGCCATCGGGAAGACATGGAGATGTCAAATTTGAAACAATTAGGCACGTCTTCTTTCAAAAAAGCTCAGTGATAAACGTGGCATCAAGTGAACAGTCCCCGAGCGTATACCAAATCTGCGTAACACATGCCCCTTTTACTAATGATTACTTATAGATTCTACCTGAATCGATACTTCCTGTGTTCGTGTGATGATCAAGTCTTCTTCTCCCTTACTATAATGGTTAAAATATCGACGGTTGAAGCTCAGAATACTCTCTTGGCTCTCCTGGCCAATCGTCGTGTCTGAAATCCCCGTCTTCTTGTGTCTTTTGGATGACCGAAATGTTTTACTTCCGATTGTGACCAGCTTCGTGGCATGTTGGCCCTGTGATTCATTACCGCTTCGTCCTCGCTCCCCTCTTGTGCTGCCAAATAAACCGTGACCAAAGATTCGATCAATTAGTGGCTGGAGAGTTGGAATGCATGCGGCGATGATGATTGCATTTCCTTCAATGCTAGTCCAAATTGTGATATCGGCAGTGTCGTCTATACGATCGGTCAGCATATACTTGTAGCTTTGAAACAAACTTTTACTTACAACTGAAGTCAGTGCTGGCAAGTGCAGGTAGCCTAGTCGACTTGTAAACCGCCACGGCTGCAGCTCTATTTCATAAATGAGAAGTCATCTTGACACAAGTGTTTGCAGACCTACATGGAGCCTAGCCCTAGCGCAAAGCTGAGAGCGATCTTCTTCTTTACATTCATCTGTAATCTGTAGAGAACAACAGCCGGATAAATCGCAAGATAAAGATCCACAATGGCGGATAAAGCTGTCAAAATGAGTCGCGTTCCCCATTTCACACGGATAACGTACAGCCAGCAACAATGGCATAGTATACCAGAATCCATGGGCTCCAGCAGGTGCCTTTGACTGTAAAGTCCCACTGCGATCGAGTCGGCGTGCACTGTGCGAAGAGGATGACAACACAGCCAAGCAAAATCATCAAGCAACCGCCAGTCATTGACCAAAGAAACACCGTGTGACCTCGGCTGGGGTTCATGATCCTCGTTAGGAGCGCCACCACGGCTAGTTTGGGGATTCCAAATGAGAGTATTCCTGGACAAAAGCCAGCAATAGTGTACAGTATGGCGTCTGATTTTTGCTCGGTGGTGAGCATAACGAAATGACGGCCATTGCCAGCCCGTACGGCGGCTATCGTTAGGCCAAGCATAACATAGCCACATGTCTATTTAAACGTCAGTATCTTACATGGCTGAGAGAGCCCTGAAGAGAACATTTACCATGGATAGCATCATGAGCCAGTCATCTAGGCCAATGTGCGATTGGATTTTGCCTCTGACATATAGTCTTGCAGCAACAAAGATGGTTGCCAGAGCAGTCAGGGCGATGCATACCGCTAATATCGTAGGCCCCTTGTCTTCGTTGGAGAGATGCTCAGGCAAAGCGTTTGGCACTGACATAATACCGTCAAACTCTGCAAGAAGACTAAAGGGCTGTCGTATATTTTCCAAGAAGATTGAGTGGCTCTGCAGCGAGCCGATGAACATAGACATGTCTTATACATTGCTCAAGCCAACAACAATGTTGTAGATCCAGTCTGAGCGTCTGATTCCATGTTGTTGCATCTTCTCCCAAGAGAAAAGTTCCCGTGTCTTTTGATGGATATTCTGCTCAACGGAAATTTGCTGCAGCGGATCGCGACCACGCCGCAATCGAAAATGCAAGTCCACGCAATCAATGCGTACCAACACCGAAAGGTAGCAACATCTCCTGCATAACGCATGCTGGCGAGTTCCAAGTGCGGATGTAAACTAATCCTTTAATTTCTCGGTGCAGATCAGTCCTTGTTCGCCGTTTATATACTGCGCATGTAGCGTAAAGGAGGGCGGGATCCTCCTCGCTTGTCACGGATAATTGAGCACCAAGTAACAACTACGTCAGCATACAAGCTGAAGATGTCTTAATCAGTACATAACATTTGGTAGTAAAAAAACGCCATGAAGCAATTCATCAGACCTCTTCGCTACCACATGCATGAAGATGCGCTCGAATCATTCTAGAACACTCTTTTCCTGCCGCTGAAGTTGTTCCCAACATCGCGCTAATTGCGGCACAGCGGACCAGTCGAAATGTGACTATATAACCGCTCTTGCGTCTTGCTCGTTTAAGAGGCGATGTTTTAGCGCTCGTTCATTACCAATGCTATGGTTCGTGTTACAGACATCAATCGATCAAGGGTCTGACCGGCTAAGTTGGGTGCGGAAACGCTGCGAATCCTAACAATTCGGGGAGGATCTTGCACCATGAAATATATTACGTCTGTCAAATCATACATCCTTGTAGTTCGGGAGATGTTGAAGATATGGCTAGTGCTGATGTGCCTTGTGGTACACAACGAGTCAAGATCACCTAAGGAATTTGGTCATAAAGTCATGGACGTCCGTTCTGCCCCCTCATATCAGACAATCATCTACCTTGTGATTAAAGCAGGATTGTTTTAGCAATATTATTATTTCTGCTCGCTCAGGCACTTCCTCACCAAACCCATCATTGAGAATGACCGTACCACTACTCGATGGCGGCATAGCCGTGCGTGCCAATGATCCAGGAGCCGTTCCCAAGATACTAGAGAAGCTTCTGATGTTTAGAAAATCCTCAATTACAGAAGGCAACGACAGTCGTTTGGATATGCTCGCGCTCGCCAGGAGTCTGGTAGTGGCTCTGGAGACTCCCCGGGAAACAATGATCAAACACAACTGGGTTCAGGTATGCGTATCAAGATCCTGGGACTGAACGTATCTAAGTTCTCTTGTAGCCGGGCTGTCATACGGCTATTACGGCTTGCTACAATGCAGGTGTATTCAGGGTACTTGCCGAGAAAAACGGGCCAACGAAGGTCGATGAGATTGCGAGCGAGCTAGGAGTTCCTCGCCAAACACTGGGTAAGCGTACAAACTCGCATATTTTCACGAAAATATTCTAAACTTTACAGCCCGCATGATGAAACACATCGCAGCTATGGGCTATATCAAGGAGATAGGAGCTGACGAATACGCACCAACAAACTTCTCCAAAGCGCTAAACATACCCATCATTGGAGACGGTTATCCTTGTCTGTAAGTGTCGAAAACTGACTCAAAACTACTAAATTTGATTGCAAGACTGACCTGATCAGTGCTGGTGGAGCCCACCCGTCCTGCAGCAAGTTTCCAGAATACCTCAAGGGAACCAACTACGAACTCACCTCAGATGTCGAATCCGGACCATACCAATTTGCTTTCAATACGAAAATGAGCATGTTTGAATACATGATTGCTCATCCACCATTGGGCCATCAGTTCAATCATCACATGAGTGGATATCGACAAGGTCGACCAAGTTGGATGGACCGCGACTTTTACCCAGTGAAAGAAAGGCTCGTGAAAGGTATGGATACATCTAAGGATGCGGTGATGCTGGTAGATGTTGGAGGAGGCCATGGACATGATATCGAAGAGTTTAGGTATGGTCGTAGGAACATAATCACAACATGCATACTTACAAGACTAGGCTAAAACATCCCAATGCGCCTGGTCGGCTCATATTGCAGGACCTTCCCCCTGTCATCGATGGCATCGAGCATCTACATGACGATGTAGAGCGCATGAAATATGATTTTCACACTGAGCAGCTCATAAAAGGTACGACTGAAAACAAAAAACGGCAGACTGTGAGCATTGACTAACATCAACAGCGGCACGAGCATACTACTTACATTCAGTGCTCCATGACTGGCCCGACGACATGTGCAAGAGCATCTTGAAACAAGTTGCCGGTGCTATGAAGCAAGGATACAGCAAACTATTAATCAACGAAATCATCATACCAGACCAGGGAGCAGACTCCGAGGCCACGGGACTGGACATGATGATGATGACACTTTTCTCTTCCAAGGAGCGTACAATGGAAGAGTGGAGACGACTGTTAGAGTCGCCTGGACTTGATCTAAAGATTGTGAAAGTATGGAGTGTCAAGCACTCACAGGAGAGCTTGATCGAGTGCGAGTTGGCATAAAGTATGTATGTTGGATGACTACATGTGCGTATGACTAAATGACATTCCAAACTTTTTTTCGATACATTTTCCATGTTTTCTCAGGCCTTGCAATTATTGTAGTACTAGAAAACGATAGAAACTATCTAGTCAGTATGTCCGTAGTCCTCCGCGGAGCAGCGCATAGTCTGCATCCTTCATGGCGCAGAAGGAAGCTGAACCTTGATAGGCCAAGAACAACTCAACGCATGTGCATGTGTAGTGTATGCAGAATACTGTATCGGTCCGAAAAAGAGCGTTGATCATAATAGCATCGCCTGATTCCACAAGTGATGATAGCCGGAACCCTGGAAGCCAGCACCCTTGCAGTGCCTGGCCCAGGCCTATCATACTAGGTGAAGCATATGCGCACTCATTGGTGAGCTGATGATACCACTACTATGAAGACTCAGGAAATCTCGGTCGCTAGAGTGAATGTTACACGGCGCCGAAGTAGAGACCTCACCTGCGATAAAAGAATCTGTGCCCGGTGAAGCCATGGGAGATGTATCCTTATAGGAAGCGTATCCAACGCCAAAGCAATTGAAGTATTCGAACATAGCAGACGTACAAGTATCAAGAACGACACGGTAGTCCCTAATTCAATGGTCGTGAGATCGATATATGTCACCGCATGACTACCCACTCGGCCATCTCTTTTGATCAGCGCTGGTGCGTACATAATGAGGGTGCTATATGGCACATAATTCATGAGGATTTATCATTGCTCGGATTTTGCGCCGTGTGACAGATATCTTGATTCACGATGACTAACAGAAGCCTTTTTCATTCATCAGTTACGCTAACGAATTGTGTACTTGACGGAACTATTGTCTTCAACGGAACGGAGGGAAAAGATTCTGAAGTTGGAAGACATGAAAAGAATAATACGAGCTAGAAAAAAGAATGTTGAAATGCAATTCGTTGTACCCCGGATTTAACACACGCGTGGAGTTCGGAGTATCTACAGAGTCCTAGTGCTGATCATGTACCATGGTATTTCTAGAATGACTACTATATTGGTCCTTCAGTTCCTTATGAAAGTAGTGCATGCTACAAACACACGGGAAATAACACGATCCAACACACCAATACACCAACGTACCAACCATCCATTTCCACTACCAAACCCATTCACAATCCCCGCCATGACATCGGTCATCATCTTCGGTCCGACTGGCCAAGTAGGATCTGCTGCCGCACGAACAGCCGGAGGCCTTGGAGCCAAAATCTGGCTGGCAATGCGAGACCCATCGAAGAGCATTCCTAGTCTCACTGCAGAATCTGAAGCCGCTGGCGACTTCCACCGCATTCAAGCCGACCTGAGGAACCCCCCGACCGTCAGCCAGGCCATCAAGACCTCTGGAGCCAAGCGCGCATTTATCTACTTGATCCATCATGAATATGAACACCTCCACGATGCCATCGTTGCAATGAAGAATGAAGGCGTCGAATTCGTTGTTTTCCTAAGCAGTTTCACAGTCTACACCAACCAAGCGTTACGCGCCATCTCTCCATCCGACCTCCTCCCCTTCGTCCACGCCCAAGTTGAAGCAAGTCTAGAAGAACTCCTCGGTCCGGAGAATTACGTCGCTGTGCGTCCCGGATGCTTCGCCACGAACCTGCTATCAGCAAGAGATGGCATAGCGACCAATCATGTCAAATTGTATGGCGCCGAGTTTGAACAGGACAACATCGTCCCGAGTGACATTGGCAGCGTCATAGGCAACATTATCGTTTCTGGTCCAAAAGGTCAAAAAATCGTCTATCTTTATGGCCCAGAGGTACTTTCGATACGAGACAGCGTTGCAAGGATCGGCAGCGTTCTCAACAAAGACTTGAAAATAACGACACTAAGTCCTGAGGAAGGATATAAAAAATATATCACTCGCGGTATGCCTCCATCTTTTGCAGATTACATGGTCAGAACGCTGGGTACCAAGGGTCCGGATAAGGGGAATGGTGAGCGGTTTCCTCACTACGAGGAGGGGGTGAAGAATGTGGCGCTTTATACGGGCCGGTCGCCGGTAAGGCTTGAGGAGTGGGTGAGGCAGAACAGGGCGGTGTTTGGGGCATGATTGATCAAATTTCGATAGATGAGATGGAAGGATTTCCACCTGTGAGTGATGTGACAAACAATAGCATCTACCCTACTACAGTCAGTAGCTAGCTGTCACAGCAGTGGGTAACCAGGTCAGCCAGGGTGATGGGTGGCTGATGCTGCATTTCTCTTTGGCACTGTTCACGGGCTACTTCCTTACTATCTTGCTAACAGAGTGAGGCTGTACCGGCTGCATTCCAAATCTGGCGCTACATTGGGCGGAAGAACATCACCACCGTTGTATCTCGAGCTCGTTCTGGAGATGATGCTGAGGCGGTGCGAGAAGATCGCCTTTGTGGATCTTGAAGCTTACTACCAAGCTCCGAATAGTACACTCAACACGACACCGCAAACCCCAAAGGTCTCCAGGGCTAAAGAAAAAACGTGTATTAATATCCTAATACCCTCTTCCTGCATACTATCAAGCCTGAGCTGCCTAAAACCCAAAAGCATCCAACAGACTATTCGCATCCGGCTCGTTAAATTGCGTAGGCGGTGGTTTCTTCTTCTCTTCCTTCTTCTCCTTTTCTTGCTCAGAATCCGCCTCCTCCTCAAGCGGCGCCGCCTGGCTCTCCCCCTTCTTGAACTCTCTGACTGGTAAATCTGCCACGACCAATGAACTGCGACGACGCAGCAGTTTTCTAGGATCAAAATCGAAATCCTCAGCGCTGGAGTTGCGTCCGTGGGTTTCGGAGCTCTCGCGTGGCATCGTAGGGCTGAGCATTGGCACGCGGTCGCCAGTAGCTTGTGACTTGTTTATCGATGGTGGTGGAGGGAGTAGGAATTCCCATGTCTTGACCAAATCGAGCGCAAGAACATCACAGCCCATGCGGTCGTACAGTCCAGCCGTGTGCAACACAAAGTCCCATTCCTCGCGCATACCGATCATGGTGGCACCACGGAGCGTTTGTAAGCTCTTTTCGCGAAGCTGCTTGTATAGTACTACAAGAGCAGGGTCGTCGGTGAGGTAGGATTTGGCAAGTGGGTCAGGGCTCTCGGATATGTCGATGAGGTCGGAAAGCGGCGTGACGAGCGCACGCACTGCCATGTCCTTGCGGTTAAGTAGCCAGTAGGCCCAGATTGCAAGCCACCGGTTTCCTTCCCGGGCAGCCTGGGGCAGAATCTTATTCTTGAGGAAATCCAGTAGCACAGGAGACTCATCGCCGCCGTAGACCCTTGCTACAGCAATAGCAAGTTGCGTATCTCCTAGCTGAGTGTGCAACACGTTGACAGCCACGTCGAGGCGATCTGCAAGAAGAAAGAAGGACGCAGCATATTCAAACCTCCTTCGGCCCATAAGAGCATATGCGTTTTTAAGTGCAGCAGTCTTCCAGCGTTCTTCATTAAAGTTGTTCGATAACAACCGGTGTGTAGCGGCTTGTTCTCTTGACCAGGTTGCCATGCGCCATAGGCCAACCAGGACCGGCTTCTTACGCAGAGCCATGTAGTACAAGGCGCAATCAACGGGATTCTTCTCTTCCGTTTTAGTGTACTCATTCCGAGCAATGACCTCGAATTGTGCGCGGAGTGCATTCGTGTCCGACAGCCACATGAACACTCCGCATTCCTTCGCATGTTGCCACAGCATCTTTCCGCTAAAATGCCTGCTGACGAGGTCTACTAGAATGTCTTGGCTTCCAGAATAAAAGGCCCAGACAATCTCACGCCACGAAATGGGTCCTTTGTGGACTTGGCTGAGGACGTGTTGTCGGAAAAAGAGCAAGAAGCGACCCGCGTTGTCATCAACCGAACGGCGATGCCTCTCAACCATGCCAATGCACTCGACGATATCAGCTAGACGGAATTGTTCGCGACTTGAAAGCAAGGGTATCTGCTTCTTAGTCAGAAGCTCCTTGAGATTTGACGCGACTTCTTCAGTAACAGCCTCTGGTTCAGTATCATCTGAATAATCCATGTACGACGAGTGTATCTCTTTCTTGGATGCAGTCATTTGGGTCTACTCGTGTTAATGGCCATCTTATCGAATCCGCCAGTATACATACCTGATCCTCAGAGAAGTCCTCAGGGGCAAAGCCCAATGTGCTGTCAAACTCTTCGCCCTCAATCCAGAACTTGAGCTTCTTATAAAGACAGATCAAGATACGCTGCACTAACAGCAGCTTACCAGCCAATACGCATTGCGACAGCAGTTGAGGATGGTATGCCGGTAACGGGCCATTGAGACGACTGACAGCTTCAAAGATGTCGATATGCGCAGTCTTGCGTGACAAAGTTCGTAAACTGGGGAAAAGACTGTCAGTTATTTCCACATGCTCATCTTGTATGAAGAGCTGATTGCCCGCGCCTATGACGAGATTGCCGCTACCCAACCATACAGAGTCACCGATTGGATGGGGGGTTATGTCTCGAATTCGCACGTCACCAATTTTTACCCAGGATGGACCTGCATTCAGGTAGTCGTATCGCAGCTGTGCGTAGATGACAACACGGTGAGGGAAGCCGACAGCGAGGATAGACTGGTTATCTGGAGTGGAAGACCAATCAAGATCAGAGATGATGCCATTGCCTTCAAAGGTCTCCTGATGTTCAAGTTGCGCACTGCGGGTGTTCCAGATAGTAAGTGTAGTCCGTTCAGCGTCCACCAGCGCGGCTTTTCGTATTGATGTCCCACTGGCAAGCGAAGGGCTGTGTACCCCAGTATCCACCTCAGAAGTCAACAACCATTCAAGATCTCGCTTTTCAAGATTGACACGGGCAGTCCAAGACTTGATGACTCCCGACTTGGTGTACGAAATGGCAGTGTCTCGCGCAAATGCGTCAAGAAAACCGGAGATGACAGGTGCCGAGCCTGCAGGATCCACAGGCAATACGAATGCAAGGTCGTCGCCAGAACCAAGATCAAAGATCGAGAATTGCTCAAGCGAAGCTGGTGCATGGCCATTTGTGTACCCGTTGGCATGTGTACCATTCGATGAATCTCTTCCAGTAGCCGAATCTGTTTCTAGTGCTGGCAGTGTAACTTCCCAGCATATACCTTTCATCTCAGAGCTGACGGTGGCAACGTGAACACGCCTCCCGTCGTGGTCAATCTCGGGAATGACCAAAAGACATAGGGGCTTCCCTTGTAGCTCGTAGGGAAGCCGCATAACTTCGACGGCTTCGTGTCCGCGAGTATCCCATAGCGAGATTTCTTTGTGATGTAGAAACACAAGGAAGTCGCCCTCTTGTAAAAGTGCAGTGCGGTGGATGTGCTCAGTGACGTTGATACTGCTATGACGATGGAGCGTCATGCCGTCGTCCCCCTGTCGGTGTATCCAGACTATGCACTCATCGGTAGTGGTGCGCGATACAAGGGCCTTTCCACTGGCAGTACGATTGACTTTCTTGATGGCATGCGAGTGCCCTGTCCACATGGCCTTGCGTTGCATGCGCTGTGGCTGCTGCGAAGGATCAAACAAGTAGTCGATACGCGCCTCCAGCCACTCCATGCGGCCGTCAAAGTGATGTGATAAGATGGTCAGTTCGGACTCGGGCTTTTCGTCGATAAAGGCATAGAACTGCACATTGTCCTCGATGGGCTTTGGCTCCTTTGCAAAATGCATGCGCAATCCATCGACGTGGGCAATATTGAAGACGTCCGTCACCTTCTTGCCCTTGGCGCCCACGTTTTCAAACCCCCATGCTGACATGTTGCCGCGATCGTCGAGCACAACGCAGATCTCGGGACTGCGGTTCGCGACCTCGATCAGGTGATGGAATGCTATTCCGTGGTCCTTTTCCTGGGGCGAAGCCTGCTGCATTGCTCTTTCCGTCGCTTGTTTGAAGTACTTGCCATCAATGAAGAAGGCATACCGCTTGGTCGACTGGCGGTCCAGCGGTATGTGACGCTCCATGATAGCCTCCATCAGGTCCACCTCAGCCCACATGTGCATACCATCCACTCCGTGATGCTCTCCAGGCACCCATACGCGCACTTTGTTGTCAGCGCATATCGTGTAGAGCACATTGTCGGCCAATTGCTCCTTGTGCAGCGGATACCGCCAGTGTAGGCCTGTGATTGCCTTGGGATGGGGGAGGTAGAAGTAGTCGAATCTCTGGTCTGCGGAGCCAAAGGCTGTACGACGCCATATCTTGAGTAGTCGGTCGTGCTGGCCGGTTGAAGCTATCAACTCGGCGTCAGGCGAGAAGTGGGCAAACTTGACGGGGTTGGCCAGCTGTTTGGACCACGTATGCTCGATATCGCCATGGGTGTTAAACAGGGTCAGCGAAGCACTGCCAGCGAGAAGCTCATCAGGCATCCCCCATGAGAGCGTCGTGACGGTGTCGTCGGCATCTGGCAATGCCATGCTGCCTTGTAGCGACCACTGCAAACAACATCAGCGGCCATCCACACCCGTCGCCTTGTGTTCCCACCTTGATAGCACCCTCATCCTGTCCGTACGGTCGGTATACATAAATGTGTCGCGTCGAGCATACGGCCAGCTTGCCCGTGGCCTCGTCTATTGCGACTGCCTCGAGCTCAAACTCGTCGTCAATGTAGAGCGTCTGCAGGACATGGTTGGGCCGGTTGAGAAGAATCAGGGCGTTACCGGATATGTAGGCCTAGTCATGAGTGGCGTCAGTCCCAGTGCATGCGACAAGGCCGTGGTCTGGCGTACAATAATCTGGAGGCCCTCCCACAAGCCATGGGCGACGGCCTGCAGCTTGGCCTGCGGGCGCCCAGGGAGAATACCGCGCATCGAAGTCTCGCGAGCGTTGCTACCGTGGCTGCCACATTTTGGATGGCTGGATGTCGCGGAAGTCTGGGGAGTCTATGATGTCTTCAATCCGTTTCCAGGCACTCGGGCAGCGTTCGGTGGATTGCGGTGCGAGCTGCGACATCTGGGGTCCCTGGATCTATGTGCTCGAAGCTCATGCGCACGATCCACACGCAATGTCGTCACTAAAAACGTCTTACACACTAGATGAAAGCATCAAGAATTCGTACACACATCTTTGAACCTTGCGCGCTGCTTGCAAAGCATTCATGTAGTACAGGTAGTGCACACGCTAACTTGTTCTTGTCATCTGATCACAAGAACAAACGTGCATCTCTAGACATGGCTGCAACCCTTCCGCAACCCTTCTCGGAATCGGAACGCTAGCGCGAAGCCCTGACCCTTGTATTGCTTTCTTTCCATCGTCACCAACACGCACTTTCAGAGCACTGCGAAAAAGAATGTCGTATTTCGAATATCTGCCCTCTCCCAATGTTTCCACAGATCTAGGCCATGGTTCTCTCCACCTTGCCCTCTACATCCCCTTGCTCCCCCTTACCCTTCCACTCCACCGTCACTGTAATGCCGCGGTCGTCGCCCTTCTCCTTTGCGTACGTCAGAGTACCCTCCAAGACAGTGCCCTTCTTGAAAGCCTGCTTCTTCGCAACCTCTGGATCCAGCAGCAACACTGCCTGGTGCCAATGAGTAGGCGTGTTGCTAGGGCCTGTTGAGAAGCCCAAGCCAGGGACGCCATTCTTACCCCAGTCGACGCTGTCAATCGTCTTGATATCTTGGCTACTTCCTGGGTGGATGAAGATGGTGTCGAACCAGATAGCAATTGCTTCCAGCGATGTGATGTCGCGGTCGAGCGTCATGCGAAGCGGGATCTTGAAACTCAGATCTTTGATGGCCACCGTCTTCATCTCTAGCAAATGGCTGTTGGCGCTTCCGCACAATGACTTTTCAGGTACGTCGAATACGCCAATCTCATGCGTGTTGAGCAGACCACCCGGTATCATGGGTGAAAAGTCGAATCCGTAAATGTCTTTCCAGAACTTCTCGCCCGTGCTGTCGGCTATCCATTCGGCGTCACTGATGGGTGCAAGACGAATATTGCAGTGAGAGGGCACCATGATACCATCGGGTTTCAAATACATATCACGAGCGCGTAGGACCGAGTCAAGCATTCCCTCAAAGAGCAAACCGTAGCCCATCCATTCCGAGATGATAATGTCGACTTTTTCCTTTCCGATCCGGCGCTGTGTGTTGAAGTCTTCGGCTCTTCCTTGGACCAGCTCAATGCGGTCTTGGTATCCATTCTTCTCGATAATCTCCTTTGCACGCACAGCAATGCCTGAGTTATCAACGGCAAAAACCTTCTTTGCCCCCGCTCGCACACAAAACAGCGAAAGAATACCGGTGCCGCAGCCAACGTCCATGACAGTCTTTCCCGCAAAGACTTCAGCGTTCTTCTCGATGAAGTCGCGATACCCTTCTGTCCGTACGCGGTCCTCGATCATTTCTCGATGAATGCTGTTACCCTTGTACGACTCAAAGTAGTCTTGATCACGGTCGTTGACAAGTTTGATCTTGGAAAAGTCTTCGGGCATATCCTTTTGCAACTTGGCCTCGTACTCATCGTAGTCGACGGCATTAGCATCGTCATTAGGCATGAGGTCGCCAAGTTCGAAAAGCAGGGCATCGTCTTCTAGAACTGGCTGCAGGTACTTGTCGCTTGAGAGGTCGTCTAATGTCACCTTGATGGACTTGGGATCAGTTCCCTTTTGTGCTTCAAACCGCAAGTAGTTGATCAGCTTGATGATTATAATCTCATCTGCATCTAATGTCATCGTGAGTAGTCATCCTAAATGGGTTAGGCGCCAACGTTTCTTTTCGTTTACGCACCTGGTCCGAGTCCTTTGATAGTCTCTGTGAGATCAAACCCGTGCTCGGCCTTGTTATGTGCTACCATGTCAGACACACGGGTCCATTGCCGATCGGAAAATAGATCTTTGAAAGTAGATATATCCGGCTCGCTTGCGTCTTCAACAATGCTGCCCACAGAGCTGGCCGTGTCGGAATCTGTGTCTGACATGACTGTATGTATGTGTGTGGCCACAATTCAAAAGAATTGCCGGAGTATCAAAGAAGAGCAAAATTGCAAAGAACTGTGAAGGTTCGTCAAGTTGTTTATGGCGGGAGAAAGTTCTGCGGTTAGTGTTTGCATTTGTGGGCGACACTGCGGGGTAGGCTACTCGCGCCTCCCGTACCTACGTCAATTTCCACACTGTCGTCACATCTCATCGCCTTTCCTACCATATTATCCTATAAACGCCAAAGGCTCTAATGCTGCTAATATCTGGAAATGATGCGATGTATATAAAGACCAACGAACAAATAGAAGAGATTCGCTTATTAAGATATCTCGTTACATAGAGTATTGTTATCTTATTAATTAGACGCTCCGACATTAGTCTAGCCTGAATGCTCAATATTAGCTTTTTATTTAAGCTTCTGTTCTGATTGGAGATTAGTTATATAAAACGCGTACGTATCTGAGAGTGAAATATCTATTGAAAAATTATTTCTTACTTTATAAATTTAGACTTAGTGTAGCGAGTAGAGTGTTACACGGGGTCTGGCCATTACTCTGCTTCTTCTGCTTGTACGACTCCTAACGGTTGTCTGTCAGCACATAGCTTGATGCTTAGTATTTTTCTATCGAATTTTGGAATTAGATTAGTGATATCGCTGAACTAGGTCTCTTCGTACATCGCCTTGGCTATCACGGCTTAAGCAGACGCATTTCGCCTATATTCCAACAAATAGAATCAAACTTGCCTCTCTTAGGTTCTTAGGTTCGATGAGTAGATCCCGGCTGGTACATTTTCTTAGCTGGTGGGATTTGATCTACTTAATTCATGCCAGAGCAGTATGTTAATAAATACTTATCATAGCTATGTCACCACCGATACAACTATACTGCAATCTGTCATCAAGATGGATTTGAAGTCACTAGAAAATCAAGAGCTTTTTCATCGATGGGCAGAGGGATTTGGTCAGGGTAACATTCATTCTCACTATTTCATTGGTAAACGCATTTCCGATACATGACGTATCAGTCTCCGAATCTATTAATCTTAGTCGGGCATGTGAACATGCTAATGGTGGTAGCTGAGTTCAATTGGCTGAAAAAACGTCATCGGCTTCACAAATTAGTGGTATTCTACATCTATCAGCCTACTGGTCATTGGGCTCGCCAAATTCAAGAAAGGGTTGTCGTCTTGTCTGTGTTGCCGCCAACTTCTTTGCTACCTGCTGACGGTCTCACACAAACATCATCGCGGATCTGTTCACAACAGCTTCGTCGAGAAATACAGACGGAGGTCACATTTCCGACCAATCTCAACGCTAGGAAAAAATATTTGACAAGAATTAATGATAAAGTTTAGTAGCGCTAGTTGCTTGCGGCTCGTGATTTGCCTGACTTGGCAATACACCAATTTCTAGTTCGGGACATCAAGATCCCGAATAACCTTTTCAGGCGGGCCTTCGACAACGCTAAGTGCAATAACGACACCGAACAAGGGCTTGCCTTCATTTACTCTAAGTTTCCAGTGGGTTTAGAAAAGCGACTTTGCGTGTTATTTTTTCAGCTACATGTATCAAACCCCTGCACAATGTTCTTCGTCATCCTCTGCAGCCAGAGACAAAAGCTGTGTAAAAAGCAGCATATAGCATCACGTATCAACACGTCACTAAACTAGCTCACCCCCAATCCCCAATCTTGATAGTGTTTTGGACAAGTGACCTCTTGGCAAATACGTGGATGATGTTGTTCCATTCTGTTTTGGATACGTAATAGCAGCGATGCTCGTGACCACAATGTTACAACACGAAGCCTTTGACCTTGTTCTGTATGGAGTATTCAAACCTCTGTATTGAGGGTTGAATTAAAATTATGCCCTTCCTATTAGAGAATTTGTTTAGCTAAGAAAAAGCTTTTCTCTGGCCAAGGCAGTCATCCAAGCCACAAAGGGGAAACGATGAAGTCGAGCCCACAATCTGCACGCGGTCGAGACTAAAGCCACATTCGCACGTGGCCTATTCGTCTTCGCCGACCTATGCCCATTTCTGTGCAAGCAGTGAAACAAATTCCCCGATCCAGAGTCTAAACACGGGAGCTATACATTTCCAATACTTTTAAGTGTCTTTAGGTCCGGATAGTTTGCGTAGCGGGCCAGAGATTGAATGCAGAAATCGACGACAATGATTAAAATTACTATGAAAGGAAATTGTGTTGGTCTGGTTGATGCTGTATATGATTCAGGAGAGGGTCATGCACGGTCTTCATGTCGAGTAGAACGCCAAACTTTAGTAAATGACCACAACCACAGTTTTGTTGCAGTGTTCTACAGTGAAAAGGATCTTGCCCTTTCCAGATGGTTTATTCATAACATATTGGGAACGACTATTCCTAGAAGAGTCATGGAAGTAATTCAGAACTTACGCAGTGATGGATGGCGGGGGTAGAGACGGTTTGCTAAAAGGTTTGCTCATTGTTACCTGACCTACCTCTAGTATCCAAGATCGCATGATGGAATTGAGAGGTGGGGATGCACCGCTGTCCATGGAACCCTCACTACTTTCGATGAAAGGCGCAAAGGTTTTCAGGTGTAGCACTGAAGGGTTGGTACCGTGATCCAAGGTAGGTGGTGCTCGCACCACTGGTACAAGCGCCTAGCGTATAGAAAAAGGAGTTCTGTCAACGTTTTGCCCCGTTTAGCGTCTAACCCTTGACATGGGAACGGGAATCAATGGTTCTTTTGCAAATTACTCGTTCTGGCAGTATCAAGACTGGTATGCTAGAGAAGATGGGTCGGCGGTTTGACATAGCCATGCATGATGCCGCTGTCGTACCGTGGAATTCATCCGCATCGAGACAGCAATCGTTTCTGAGTATAACCGAGATTTACTGCAGTATTCAACATTTGCTTCAAGACTTGCTTTCCACGGCATAACTACTACGCCACCGAGAGCGAGCCGAGTCAGCCACAGGTACCCGTGCCCTTAGGGGTTTCTCTTTCCGCGGAGCCCATAGGTGCATCC